CACAGCTCCCTCAGAGCTGTCTCCACCATGGCCTCAGCATTCAATGTCTTGCAATGGCAAGACAGCTTTGCGAAGCACCTCACCCTTTCCAGCACCCGTACCTTTGGACATCCTGCTTACTTATCTATGAGGCCTCTACGGAACTCGGACTGCTTAGGGCACTGATGAGAAATAGGATCTATTTATTAAGCACTGCACAATGCTCTGGCCTCTGCTGCTGTCACCTCCTGGTGGTTCTTCGTTTGGTCCTCACTCTGTCTTATAGCAATTGTCAGAACTCCAGCTGCACAGAGATGAAGGCTGAGGGAATGTGGTACAGCCGATGCTCAGAGTATGGTTGCCTTGAGCTGGCAGCTTGTGTGGTGTCCAGTGAATGAAGACCATCACTGTTTTCCTCAAAGCACGTTAAAACTGCCCCTGGCATCTCTGCGTTTAATATGCTATCCTAGGGTAGCCTGAGTGCGTGACTCCCCACTGTAGAGGCAGACTCCCCCTTATCTGAGCTCCTTGGCACAGTGCCCACCTCAACCACAGCCATTCATGTTCCCCTCTGAGAAACCATTTGTAGGTCCTCTTCCTTTGTTTGGTTTTTGCTTTTGTTTTTCTTCTTGCATGTCTCTCGCTGTGTGAACCGTCTGCCAGCAAGGCCATTGCTTTCTTCCTCTGCACATCCTGCAGGCCCTGATAGGTGTTCCGTTCAAGGGACCTGAACTAGCAGGAGGGTCTCAGCCCACGACACTCCACAGAACCAGGGTAGCAACTGAGGGGTTCCGTGAGCAGGGCAAGAAAATAGGGGACCTCAGTCAAGTCCCAGTGATTATGCTGCTTGAGCTTGTGGCGAACGTGGTACCCAAGGGTGGGAGAAGATTGCAGCTTCCCTCAAAACACCCAAGATCTCTCATGGTTGTGTTTCCAGCTTAGCATGGTGCCTTCACAGCCGTTCTCAGCCTGTAGATTGAATATCAGATGTACTGCATCCTTGATATTTACATCATGATTCATAACAGTAGCAAAATTGCAGTGATGGAGTAGCAACGAAGTAATTTTATGATTGGGGTCATCACAGCATGAGGAACTGTGTTAGAGTCACAGCTCTAGGAAGGTTGAGAACCATTGGCTCGGAATAATGTGGAGTATGTAGTCTGGGAGGGACTTGAGAGCAAGGTACCTTGTGGTGTCTGGAAATCACACCAGCCTGGTTCGGCCAAGAAAACCAGAGGGTGTGGGCCCTCAAAGATGCCCACCAATCAGAAGGCAGCACTGCAGACCTTTGGCTTGGCTTCCGCTTTCATTTGATTCCCTGCAGAGTTCCAGGCAGGGGTGTTGGATTTGGAGGGATGGGAGGACAACAGAAAGGAATAAGGGAAGAGCCTAGGAGAAAGAGAAGGACTGAGGTGAGGGAGGAAGGGGAAAGAAGGGAGACAGACGCTGCTGTTGCTGTTTGTCACAAGCAAACCAGTGGGAAAGGTACTTTGTAAACCTCCTTCTAAAGCATGACCTTGGGGCATAACCTCCACACCCAGAGATGTGAAGCTCCTGGGAGCTGGGAAGAAGGGAGGGCTCCCAGCAGAGCAGACCACAGGTGTCTGGTGTGACACTACTGGTTCCTCCCAGTGACTAGGGCCTGCACAGTGGCCTGTTTGACCTGTCCCATCAGCCTTTGCTTCAGTGTCACCTGAGTTCATCTCTTTCCTTAGTCAAGAGACTTGGTGCTGTCTTTCATAGTCAGCTACAAATGAATGTTAGATGTGAGTTAGGACCGGAATGGACCATGTGACAGAGTGTCAGGAACTCACAGGTTGTCCCACTGGTCTCAGGTGAGGCCATCCTACAGCAGTGCCCTGCTGAGACTCGAGGGCCGGACTGGACTCTCCAGGCTGAAGGGGCAGCTCTCTCTTTGCTGAGGTCTCAGCCCTCTGCAGCCCCCGAGTTGCTCTGAGGGGAGCAGATGCTTGGCTGTACTCGGCACACTCCCACTTGCCCTTGGCGCTGGCCCCAGGGGGTGGGCCGTGGGGGTGGCGCTCTATGGCAACTGGCTCTGCGGCTGAGCAGAGCTGGAAGTCTTCTGCCACTGTTCCGTGTCTGTCTGTTCTGTGGGCAGAGTTCTGGGAACAGGCTCAATCCGCATTGTAACCAGCTTGCTTTGGGCCTCTAGGCTCCGTAGGAATGGGGTTTTCCCTTCCTAGGGAATTTCACTCCTCTGCTTCAGGCATATAAATACTTTCTAGAAACCTTTAGAAATCCATTTAAGGACCAGCGGGTAAAGGTGTTCACTACGAAGCCTGACAACTTGAGTTTAATCCCTTATGGAAGGAGAACACCAACCCCTGCGAGTTGTCTTCGGAGGGGGAGCTGGAGAGGTAGCCGGGCAGGTAAAAGCATTTGCTGCCCTCCGGGAGGACCAGATGCTTCTTAATTTCTAAGCTGGCTCACAGTCATCCATAACTCCAGTTCTGTGGGATCCAATGCAGTCTTCCGATCTCTGCAGGTACCAGGCGTGAACGTAGTACATATACATGCATGCAGATAAAACATACACATGAAGTAAAAATAAATCTAAAACAGAAAGGTTCTAAAAGGTTCAACACATATTTCTTCTAGAAAGTTCTCTCTCGTGGCCCACGGCCCTTTGTGCTGTAGCCAGCAAAGCTGACCCTCGCTAGATGGGGCGTGTTAAATGTGATGCCTTCCACGGAATGAAATCCTTCCCTCTTGTCTCCCCCAGAAAGAACTGTTGGGGTTTCCTTAACCTTTCTCGCAGACTTATCATACTCAAACCTTCCATTATCTCCCTCCACTCTTTCCCTTTGAACCTTCTCCAAAACAAGCCTTTTAAGTTAGAGAGACCGTAATTTAATTAGATCTCTCATTTCCAGAGGATTCTTATGGCTCCTCCAAAGAAATAAATTAAATTTCAGTCAGAGGTATTTCATGGGGGGAAGGGTGCAAGAAAAAGAAATTGGATGCTTTATATAAATAGCACATTGTCTAGGTGAAAATGAGTTTTCCTTATTCTGATTGTTTTTGGGACAATGAGTCCTTTGGGGGACATTAAATCCTTTCGAGTTTCTAGCCTTCAGCTCCTCACAACTGGCGGCTTTTTGTGTATAGGTGTCTTCTCTACCTAAGATAGGGAGGCAGGGGTCTCAGCCTGGGGAGTACCTTTCAAAGGTAGGGAGGGTGAGAGGCTGCCAGCCTTTTGACCAGCTCCCTTTCTCAGAGACTTCCTCTTAGTGAGTAAGCCTGTCTTTCACAGTGCTCATCCAGGTAGCTGACCACAGGCAAGCCAGGCTGGGAGGAAAGGCAGGCCTGACTTAGCTCTCAGCTGGCAACAGAATTCTAGGCCCTGTGCTCTGCAGGGAGGATGCTTTGGAAAGAGATTTCTCCCCTTCTCTCCACTGGAGCTTCCCTTGGTAGACTGAAGAAACTGGACCCTCAAAGGATGTCTCAGGCCCTTCCCAGCCTGACCCAGAGACTCCCCCAGTACTCGTGGTCCTAAGTGGTCCACAGAGGTGTCACGAGAGAAAGGAAGACCCCGGTGCCGCAGGCGAACAGGAGAATACCCGGAAGGAGTGACAGTTCCATTGAATCCCTTCCCTTCTCCCGAGGACCCCAAGTCAGTGTACTGGAAGGGGGACGAAGATGATGACTTATTGATGACTCCTTTTGACAGTGACTGGCCACCTGTGATGTGTCCGTGCTGCCCAAGGCTCCATGTACATCAGTCAGCTCACATTCCATGACAGAGGAGAGGCGCTCGGTGTCTTCCACCATGACAGCCACCACTCTCTTCCCCCAGGAGTCAGCACCCTCCCGTTCACAATGCCCCTCTTTGGAGCAGTCATTAGACTCTGTGTTGTCACGGTTCTCAGGCTTTCCCTCCATTGCTATTGCTATTGCTGTTACTGTTACTACTACTACTACTACTACTACTACTACTACTACTATTGAGAGACGATCTCACCATGTAGCCCTAGATAGCCTGGAATTCACTATGAAAACCAAGCTGACATCTGCCTCCCCCAGTGCTGAATCAAAGGTGTGCACCACTGTACCCAGCCCCCTCCATTCCTCTTGTTCCCAGTGCTATCAGATAGTTAGCTTAAAGCTCCTGTCTTCCTGCCTGCTTGGCTGAATTCCATGGGGACAGGGACCGTGTAAATATGGTTCGCGGCACCCAGAACAGTGCTAATGAAGCAGTTGGGAGTGAGAAGCAACTTATAAGCCCATGTGCATGAATCCATGGAAGCGTGGGTCAGCACCAAAGCTGGCTATGAACCCAGAACTCTATGGCTCTGGCAGACCTGGCCTTGCAGTGCTCCCAGAAAGCTTGTGTGCAGGGCTTCACTCCTGTGAGTCTCCTGTAGGAGCTAGCCCACCATCAGGAGGGCCGAGAGCAGTCTCTCCAGAAGTAACCAATGGTATTCCGCCATCTCTATTTCATCCAATATCATTGGTCCCCAAAGATGTCTGTAAAATTGGAGATAATGGATCCACCTGGGTGGTTGGGGAATGGAAGAGGAGGAAGTGAGTTTATCCAAGTGTCTCCTTAGCGTTTAGCTCCACCTCTCCGAGTCCATAGGCTCCGCCTCCTCACCCATCCCTCAAGGGCTATGAGTAAGACTCAGCTCTGTAGTTGGGGGGGGGGGATCTAGGTCATTGGAAATGAGTGGGTGAAAATCGAGGAGGAGAAGTGCAGACATGACAACTTTTAGGGAAGCGAAAATAAAACCCTAATGTGGAAACCGAAAATAGACGGTTTGGGATGTCAGGCTGTATGCAAATCCGATGCTAATTGTGTGGAAATTAATGATGAACCCTAACTTCCATCTGCCTTTCTGTGACCCTTGGGGAGCCCTTGCCACAGGCATCTTTCCTATGCCACCTAGCAATGCTGGGAACACAACTCTGATGTCGCCCCCTTCCCACTCCTCCCCAGTGAGAGAAGCTGAGAGGAAGGCTAAAAATACCAACAATAGATATTTGATTTCTCTCTGCAGGCAAAAAGCTCTGGCATCCACGGGAGGAAGAAGCGTTCAAGCAGCATGTGACTGGTTGGTATGAGATAAATAAATTGAGAAGATAGCATGTAATTAACTCTGAGTGTCTGTGAGGAGTGCGGCTGTGCCATCTTTTTCTAATGGACCTTTCCAGGAGGGGGATGAGCCCAATGTGACAGGCCCGCTTGTCAAGTCGCCTGCCTCCTCTGCCCTGGCCCCAGGGTGTGTGTATCTCCTTGGATCTGTTTTAAGGCTTTCAGAATCCTCCCAGATAGAGGCTCACATTATCTAAGCCCTGCCAGTCTCTTCAAGATTCAGTATCCGTATGTGGAGGCCAGGCTGACCAATTAGAAAGCTGTCCTACTTACTCGTTTGCCAGGATGTCACTCCCAAGAGAAGCCCACAGGCCACCTTCCTGGAGCTGCTTTTTGCTTGGAGGTCCAGGAGCTCCAACACAGACGGAGCTGAAGGACAGAGTGTGTACAGGGAAAACACTCTGTGGGGCCGAGATTTGGAGTTAACCCAAGGATGCTTCCTGGAGAGCAGCTTTGGGGTTTTTATAGGGAGTTGTGGGATGAGGAAGCAGTACCACTCGCTGGAGAACAGAAGTCTCTCTCCATCTGAGAATTGGTTGGGAGTGTAAGCTTCGAAGGGTGGATCTTTCTAGCACAAATGGAAATCCTTGTCTGTGTAGCCCTGGGGGTGGGAAGTGTGGAGAGGGATGGGCCTGCCTCTTCTGATCTTCCTTATGCACTGTTCTCCAGTGATGCTTTCTTGGCTCTCTCTCTCACAGGTTGTTCTCCCATGTTGGTGACCCCTTCCTGGATGACCCCCTGCCGCGAGAGTATGTCCTCTACCTCCGCCCAACTGGCCCATTAGCCCAGAAGCTTTCCGACTTCTGGCAGCAGTCCAAGCAGATCTGTGGGAAGAACAAGGCCCACAACATCTTCCCCCACATCACCCTCTGCCAGTTCTTCATGGTGAGCTATATCGCATCTCCCCCTACCCCCAGCCCCCAGTGTCCCAGACAGCCCCGGGGACCTGGACTGAAGCTAGGAGCTGTTCGAGAAGACTAAGGAAATGTTCAAGAGCTCTTGGCACTGGGTGGACCCCCCCAGGGGTCAGTGTGGTCCATAGTGAGGGCCTCACCCCAGTTGCTCACTCCTGACATCTGCTGAGGCCTGGAGTGTCCAGGTTTAGTGTGTCAGGACAACCATGTGCTTCCACAACCTGAAGGACAAGCCTAAGCCATTGTGGGTGACACTCTGGCCTGGCACCTGAACAGCCATTGACGTAATTTCATATATGCTTTCTGTCTACTCGGTCCACTCTGAGGATAGGAGTCACAGTCTCTCTCTCTCTCTCTCTCTCTCTCTCTCTCTCTCTCTCTCTCTCTCTCTCTGTGTGTGTGTGTGTGTGTGTGTGTGTGTGTGTGTTGTTTCTCAGAAGCCATCCATGTACCTTGTCATCTAATCTGGAACTCATAAAGGGGTCTAGCCTGACTGGCCGGCCAATAAATCCCAGAGCTTCTCCTGTCTCTGCCTCCCTGATGCTGGGATTACAGCCCGTACTGCCCCACCCAGCTTTTTTACGTGGTTCTGGCAGTGGAAATCCACCTCCTCATGCTTACACGGCATGTACTCCTCATGAGCTATTTTCTTTTCTTTCTCTTGTTTTGAGACAGAGTCTCATGTAGCTCAGCTTCAAACTTGCAGCATCATGGAGGATGACCTGAAACCCCTGATGCTTAAATTCCTGATCCTCCTGCCTCAGTCTCCCAGGTGCTGTGATTACGGGCATGTGACACTGTGGCTGGCCAGCTCTCAGAGCAGGGAGGGCAAGAAACAGGGGGAGGGGCACAAGATAAGTGGGTTACAGACAAGAAAAGTCTCTCCGCCTATGTGGACAGCACCATGGGGCCTTACTAGAGTTTTCTAGAGACTGAAAGATAACCCTCGCCCGCCACAGTTCCTCATCCACACTCTGCCTGTGGAGAAGCTTATTTAGGGGCTAAATCAATCCTCCCTCCCATGATGTCTGAAGTACACGTCATCTGCTTCCACTCTCATGTAAATGGGGTTGACCTACCCACGTGTGTTCCACACGAAACAGGATGGTAGCCTCTTCAGAATACATTTTGCTTTTTTTTTTTTTTCCGAACGTGGCCTCCGTTCGTGTGTGTCTCAGGTAGAAGACATGTTCCTAACCCCTTGTCTCTAGCAGCTCACTCTGAGAATTAAATCAACTGTCACTTCCTCTTAGTCATGGCAGGATCTTGCAGAAAAGCATTCAGAGTTTTGGAGACTCATTCTTTCTCCCAGCCCTCCAAAGAGGGTAGGTGGATGACATCACCACTCCCCAGACTTAGTCTTCCTTTTTCCCCACGATCGTGGAAGTGGAGGTGGAGACAGCAGTTGTCTAAGGAGCAGTGGAAAGAGCGCTGGAGGCTGTGTTCCTGTGTCTTTGCTTGTTGCCCCCCACCTCCCCACTGTCACACACACTTCTTCTCCTCCTTTGGCTCTCAGGCATCTTCCTCTGTCTACCTCTGCCTTACTCCCTTGCAAAAGGGTCTCTTGCTGATCTGGAACTCACTTGGGGACAGGGGAGGTAGGCTGGTTGGGTAGCCAGCTATCAGGCTCTGGGTAGCTCAGCCTCCCTGTGTTGGGCTTATGAGCATCTCCAGCATGCCTGACTTTTTATGTGGGTCCTGGGGATTTGAACTCAGGTCCTCATGTTTGCAGAGTAAGTGCTCTTTCACAATGGGCTGTTTCCCTAGCTCTGTCTCGTTTTTTTTCAAGGTCAGGAGTCAGGGTCTCAGGTATGCCAGGCTAACCTAGAACTCAATATAGCTGAGGATGACCTTACACTATTCTTCCCTTCTTCAGTGCTGGGTTTTCAGATGTGACCACAATATCCAGTTTATTCCCTGCCCCCACACAATTTTAAGCTATTGGAGGTGGACTCCTCAGCTTCCCAAATACTAGGCAAGAATTCTACCAACTAAGCTATGTCCTCTGCTCTAACCTCTAGGGTTTTTTATACATTTTATGTTTATAGGTGTTTTGCCTACGTGTATGTCTGTGCACCATTTTCATGCCTGGTGCACACAGAGGCCGGAGTAGGGTGTTGGATTCCCTGGACCTGGCATTATAGACTGTTGTGAACCACCATGTGGGTGCTGGGACCCAAATGTAGGTCCTCTGCAAGAGCAACAAGTGCTCTTAACCTCTGAGCCATCTCTCCAGGCCCAAGAACTTTTTATTTACTTGATAGATTAGAGCATATAACATGAATGTTGAATATATGTGTTCATTATAGAATGTTGATTGAGCTAGTCCTATATACATTACCCGTCATCGTTGTTTATCTGTGATAAGAACTTGACTAGCTCCTGCCTTCCTCTTCTTGTTTTCCTTTGGGTTCTGTGGATTGAGTTCAGGGCCTCTTGCACACTAGGAAAGAACACTTAACACTGCACCCTCTGTCCAACCCTAAAGTTTTCTAGTACACAGCACATTGCTTCTAACTTTTCTTACCATGCTTTTGTTTACCCCTCTGAAATTGTGTTTCCTTTAACGGACATCTCAAAGCCAATCCTGGCTTCCATTTTCTGATTAACCAATCAGATGCCATTCTGGCAAGGTTCGCAGGAGCCACCATAGAGCAAGGGGAGTGGGCAGAGATGTCATGATGTACCCCTTAGCTTCATTTGCCCAAGGATAATAATCAGTGTCTGCATCATTGAGAGCCTGCGGCTCTTCCCTCCCTGGTGGACAGTGGTGCCAGTTAAGTAATTGTATGATCAGCCTCAGCTCTCTGGGGGCAGATAAAGTGCTCAGTGCCAAGGGGCAGCGGCAGGCTTCTCTCTGTCCTGGGCTGTAACGAAGCCAGCTTGTTTTCCATCCCTAGTGCGAGGACAGCAAGGTGGATGCACTGGGGGAAGCCCTGCAGACTACTGTCAGCCGTTGGAAGTGTAAGTTCTCTGCCCCGCTGCCCCTGGAGCTCTACACCTCCTCCAACTTCATCGGGCTCTTCGTCAAGGAAGACAGCGCTGAGGTCCTCAAGAAGTTCGCTGCTGACTTTGCTGCAGAGGCCGCGTCCAAGACAGGTAAGCGCCCACGTTTATCTGCGTCATCCTGGATCCCAAGGTCAGAGGTCAAAGGGGCAGGCATGGGAATGGTTGTGTGGCAATCACCCTACAAAGAGGAAAGGATTTATTTTGGCTCACGGTCCCACAGTTCTCAACCAGTGGTGGTTGGCGCCTGGGTTGAGGCAGAATATCACGGTAAGGATACATAGAAGAACAAACCTGCTCACCTCAAGGAGACCAGAAAGCAGTCTGCAGTAATCCCAAGGGGCTGGGGTCCCAATGTCCTCTTCAAAGGCACATCCCAAATAACCTAAGTTCTCCCTATAGGCTCCACCTCTTAAAGATTACACCTCCTCCCAGTAGTACCACAGGTTGGTGACCAAGCCTTCCACATATGACGTATGGGGACTTTTATGATCAGATGGTAACTTCTGCAGAGGAGCTAGCTGGAGTTGGGAGGTGAAGGGATCATGTGGAAATGGACCCGTGTGGCAAAGCATGCCTGGCATCCCTTGTGACATGTCACACTTCTTTCTGTCCTGCTGACCTACTGAGGAGCCTGCCCATGGCTTGTGTCATGACTCCCGGGGACTTAACTGTTCCCACTGAACTATAAATGTAACCCTTTGTAGTGTCTCCGTCTCCTCCAGCCAGATCTAAGAGAGCCTGTTCTCATCCTCTGTGCTTCCTACCCTTGCATGCTTTTATCTGGGTCTGACCACTCATTCCGCAGCGCAGGGCACAGTGGAGCAGAGCCGCTTTCTAGTAGATCGTGAAAAAAGTCCTCAAGTTGAAGAGGGTTGGCTCAGAAGATTAGTTTACTGTACAGTTTATTTTGAGATAGAGTCTCATGTAGCCCGGGCTGGCCTCAAACTTGATGCGTAGCTAAGGCTGGACCATGCATTTCTGACCCTGTGCCTGGCTCCTGGGTGCTGGGATTCCAGCTGTGTACCACCACATCTGGTTTTCCCTGGCCCTGGGGATAGAATCCAGGGTTTCGTGCATAGGCTCTGAACTGAGCTAAGCTACATCCCCAGCCCCTGAGTCCAAGTGCTGCATGAAAAGCTGGGAGCACCCCCAGCCCCCCAACCACACATTTAGGAATGACAGGAGACAGGAAGACCCACTCCAAGCCCCAGAACTTACTTACTCCTTTGTCTCCTAGACTTCAGCAGTATTTATATTGCGTGTGTGGCGTTTCTTCAGAGAAGCCCCCACATTGACCTTGGGCCCGAGGAAGAGTGTAACCAGAAGCCACTGCAGAGCTACAGGGTCACAGTACATGTACTCTTCAAAGGACTGTGGATCCTTAAGACACTGGCTGTGGTTTGGGAACCCCTTCTGAGAGCCCCTTTCTCCCACGGACCGGCCTTGGGCTTACTAAATTCAATGGAGAGATGGAACATTGCAAAGAGATAGACTAACAAAGAGAGAATCTCCCCCATTGTCCTTAAGGACTTATTTTTATTTGAAATCCCCACTAGCTATTATCAGCCCACTATATCACTGCAAGAACTAACACAAGCCCCATATTCCTTTTACATGAGAAGAGCGGGACTGTGGCTGAGTCTTACGGCGCATATGGAATAAGAGACAGTCAAAGAGCTTGTTTTCTGTGTAGGAGACTGCTAGTCCCTCTCCTCTTCCTGAGAATCTACTGCCACCAAGAACTTGGTGGTTTCACGGCTCTGTCCCTGTGGTGCTCCCTGGTGGTGATCTGCGGAACTGCATGGCCCTGACCCAGCTGGTCTAGCTTTGTGAAAAGTAGGTCATTATGTCTTTGCCCTAGAACTAATGCCTGTGTAGTCGAGAATTACTGGTTCACCCAGATTCCTCCAACGAGTATATTTAGTGTCGCTCTTCATTCTGGGTGGCTCGGGAAGGCTCAGCCGTGTGCAGTCATTTCATCAGCAAGTGCTAAAGACCCAGAGTGTGGGTAGCGAAAACACGAGCACCTGTCCCGTGGACTCACGCCACAGAAACACCCTGGAGTATAATGGAAAAGGCCCAAACCCAGAAGATCGGCTTCCTCTGCTATATCCTTTCATTTCTTCCAATTCCTTAATTTCTTTTTGTTGCGTTTTCTTCATTGTTCTACCTGGGAAGTAAACAGTTGTTGCTTGTGTAACATACAAAGAGGAGATCAAACACTTCGCTCCTGTTAGTAAATTTGTTCTGCTTTATATTTAGCATCTTAGAATAATGGTGTACATACTTCAAATGGTCCCAACCCAGAGCGCTGTCACCCCAAAGGGAGATTTGCTAATGTGAAAAGTGGATTGGGTTGCTGTGACATTGGGGATGCCCGGGCATCCAGTGGGTAGGAGCGGGGGAGGCTGCCACACTCTATAACAGCTCCCTACGAAGAACTGTTCACATCAGTGTTGTTAGGGAGCCTACTTTATACTGCGAGTGTCTCTGCCCTCCTCATTTTTCCACCACATTCCCGGAATCCAGGACTCTGGATCCCAGACAAAGACAGTCACACCGTTACAAAACCTGCTTTGTATTTCCACATCAATCATGTTGGCCCTTTAGGTCCCCGTTTTTCTTCGTCTGAATGGTGGGGTTGGTGATGAACCCTAGACCTGTCGGGAGGAGTCAGCCTAAAAGATTAACCGGAATCCATCCACAGCTCCTGAAGAAAAGCCATCTGTCATGTGGCTTTTTATCTCTGGAACAGCGGGTTGATTCGGGGCCTGGGATCCACCCCTTTAATCCACTGCTGCCCCTCTCTTCTTGGTTAGATGGGGAACAGGGCGTCTCGGGGCACCTTTCTGTGCCCTTTCTTCTGTCTCCTGCCTTGCTGCAGTTTCTGCATTCTAACCCCCGAACCCCACCTTCCCTTTTTCAGAAGTGCACGTGGAGCCTCATAAGAAACAGCTGCATGTGACCCTGGCATACCACTTCCAAGCCAGCCACCTGCCCACTCTGGAGAAACTCGCCCAGAACATCGACGTCAAGCTTGGGTGTGACTGGGTGGCCACCATATTCTCTCGGGATATCCGGTTTGCTAACCACGAGGTAATGTTTCCCTGTAGCCCTGCCTATCCCCGGGCACAGGGAGGGCTACCAGCAGAACAAGGAGTGCTTGCTACTGGCAACACAGGGGGATGGAGACCAAGGGGAACTGACGGTGGGACACAGGGCGATGGGGACCAAAGGGGAGCGGGTGAGCGCTTGGCCAGGAGTCACTGGGCAGGTTTTATTGAGGTTCTGCGGACTCCCTGAGAGGTTTAGCGAGTGTGACATGGTTCAGCTAGCTAACATCCTCATGTTCTGTCTGCCCTGTCAGCCTTCTTGGAGAGACATAGGAAAAAAATGGAGGGCAGACAGAAAATATATCAGTGAAAATGTAATATTATATTTATGTAAGCTTTTGATGTTGAAAAAAAAGGCATTATCCTGACCTGAGGTGAGTCGAACACATAAAGACAAAAATAAACCAAAATCTAAAACCTACAAAGGCAAAATCCGTAGGTATTTGATGATAGGCTGATGTCTAGAGCATGTGAGGTGTGGTTGGGCGTTAAGGGCCAGTGAGATGACCCTGCTGGTGAGGGTGCTTGTTATCAAGCCTGACAACCTGAGTTTGCATCCGGAAGCTGTATGGGAGAAGGAGAGACCAGAGTCTATCAGATTCTCTGACCTCCAGTGAGTGCATACACACACACACACACACACACACACACACACACACGCTACATTTATACGAAAAGAGTTTTGAGTTCAGCAAGGGAAAGGGCAGACAAATATAAAAAGAAAACTCATCTGGTTCCTTGTGAGAGGTTTCAGACACCACAGTGGAAGTTGTGAGTGAGGATGACGGAATCCAATCTAGACAAATGGGTATAAGGCTAGCATCCTTCTTCAGATATAATCAACGTGGCTTTCCAGTCAGTCCTGTGCCTCTCAGAAGGGAAATGGTTATCTTCTTTTTATCTCAATGGAGACTCGGGTTAGGTGTCAGCTCTGCAACAGCAGACCTGTTGAGAGCCAGAGAGGGAGCAGAACCGAGGTCTTCTGACCAACAGCAGTGGGTGATCTGTCTAAAGAAAGACCAAACATGGCAGACCCGTGTGTCTGCGGCTTCCCTTTCTGTCATGGTTTCAGTTATCAGAAGCTATTGTTTCATATTTCTGGGGATGGCCCAGTGGGTCGGAGCACTTGCCGTGCCAATACAAAGCCCTGAGTTCAGATTCCCCACCGTCATGCTGACCCATGTGCCTGTACGCTCAGCATTGAGAGGCAGGCAGATGAATCCTAGGAGCTAGCATATGTGCAATGGTGAGCTTCGGGATCATGGGAATAAGAGGAGAGCAGTAGAAGAAGATGTCCAGCCTATTTCTCTGGACTCCACACACACAGGTATAAGCACACAGGGGTGTACACTTGGCACACACACTCATCCATATACAATATAAACACACACAAATTCATAGCCTTTAGATAACTTTTATTACAGTGTATTATTAGAGCCTCTATATTTTGTTATTGGTTATTGTCCTTAACCTACAAGTTAAGTTTGACCATAGCTATAAATACAAACAAATTTCTTCTATACGCTTACACAACACAGAGAGGGTATGTTTGGCACTCTCTGCAGTTTCAGGCCTACCTTTTGGGTTTTGGAATGAATCCCATGGTTAGTGAAGAACCTACTGTAGTTAGATGAAAATCTTTCTTCAAATTTAATTACATTTCATAAGCTGTAGTTGCAATTTTTCCCAACTTTTCAACAACAGAGTTCTTGTGGTTAGCATACATCACCTTTTGGCAGGTTTTTTTTATGCATTCTCAACATGGAAAAATAGAGAACAGAAACAAACAGAACCTCTTGCTGCACCCAGGCAACCTGATTGTTTGGGAAGTGTTAAGATCCATTCTATGGCTGGGCGGTGGTGGCGCATGCCTTTAATCCCCGCACTCAGGAGACAGAAGCAAGCGGATCTCTGTAAGTTCCAGACCAGCCTGTTCTACAAGAGCTAGTTCCAGGACAGGCTCCAAAACTACAGAGAAACCTTGTCTTGAAAAAAAAAGAAGAAAGGAAGAAAGGAAGGAAGGAAGGAAGGAAGGAAGAAAGAAAGAAAGAAAGAAAGATCCATTCTATGAACCAAAGCTTCGGGGTGCGAGGCAGGTGCTTCAGGAGTGTTGAGGGCAGGCTTGGCCTGACTTCCTGATGAGAACACCCTTGGATGTTGGTCTCTCCCTGAGACAGACTAAGCGAACTAAATCTGATCTTAGGAATTTTGGCCCCTCCTGGAATCACCTCAGAGGAGCCCTAAGGGACACTAGAGAGGTGTGGCTCCTCAGACTCTTTTTTTCCAAAGACAAAAGCAGAATAAAAGGTCAAGGGGAGGGGGTGTGCTTATGCCAGGCCTCAGGAAAAGTCCCCTTTGTAAGAGGAGACGGTGGCTGTGGAATCTTACAGGGCTTTTCTTCTAATGAACACTGCCCTCCAGTTAAATCCAAGGGTAACTGCTTTTCTTCACGACCCACATTCTGCTCAGTCTGTGCAGCAGGCCAGAGGCAGCAAATACCCACATGAATTATTTTCTAAAAATAGCTTAGCCCCCTTTATCTCTTATTTGTGAAAGCTCAATTATGACGGTTTCTTCTGATAAGGCATCCACTTCCCCTCTAGGTCCCTTTTGGGGTCTTCTGATCTTCTGGAGTCCCTTGGGTGTGTGCCGCTCCCACCCTCGTCCTCCATGTCCCCAAGGAGGCAGGCTTGATAGAGTGTTCTAGCCAGGGAATTGACAACCAGAGAAGGAGACTGACTTAAGCAAGGACACAGAGCAAAGCCCGGTGTTGCTTAGGAAAACTGTGATGTGTTACCCTTCTGCTGTGTCAGATTCTCAAGTACAGACTCACAGGGGGCTGGTGGTAGATCACACGGGCCCTTCCGTGTTCGTCATGACATTGAGCTGAAGCGCTTAGAGCAACCAGCCACAGACGTGTAGGGAAGAAAAACAGAAAGTAGACATTTTGGAGCCTCCATTTTCTGCTTCGAACCTGGCTTGCTCGTTTTTAGCCGTAGTTAGATTCACAGCTACGATTTCTGTCATTCACGGGCTAGGAATGTAGCCCAGTCTGTAGAGTGCTTGCCTTGAACACACACGCGATCCCTGGATTCAGTTCCCACAGTTGTGTGAAGCTGGGTGTGGTGGTACACACCTGTACTCCCTGAGGCAGGAGGACTGGAAATTAAACGTCATCTTCAGCTACACTGTTGAGTTCAGGGACAGCCTGGGCACTTGAGTCCTTGACTAAAACAAAACAAACAACAACAAAAAATCCAACCAACCAACCAACTGAAAAGCGGAACCAACAAACAGTAGGCTAGGGAACTGACTCTGAACGCCAGAATTCAGCACCCCAGCACTCACAGAAGGAAAAAAAAAGCACCTATAATCTTAGTATTGGGAGGCAGAGACAGGAGGATTCCTGGAGTTTAGTACATAGCCGATCAAGTCAAATCAGGAAGTTCCAGGTTCAATGAGAGATCTTAAAAAATAAGGTAGAGTCGGGATGGAGAGAGCTCGGCAGTTACAAGTACTTGTGTTCCAGAGGACCCAAATTCAGTTCCCAGCCCATGTCAGAGGGCTCACAGCTGCCTCTACTGGTCCTCTTCTGGTCTCTGAGGACACCCACACATGTGGTACACACACGCACAGACACACACAAACATACAATTAACATGAAGTAGAAGGTAATTGAAAAACACTCAACATCGGCCTCTGACCTGCACACACCAAATGGGCACACAGAAAGCATATATTTTTCCCAGTTCTTAGTTTTCCCCTTTCTAAGGTGGAGATCTTCCCTAGAATGTTGCAAGGATGTGGGAGACCTGCGGGAAGCTACCCTAACAGCTAGCACAAGGCAGGTACCACAAAGAAATCCCACACTTCCAGCTTCTCTCCGGTCAGCTGCCTTTGTGTTGGTCTCTATGGTATAATGAGGGAGGAAGAAGCTAAGCATGGCACAAGAATCATTTTTTTTTAATATTTGTTGTTTTTATTTTATGTGTATAGGTGTTTTGCTTGCATGTATGTCTTTGTACCATGTGTGTGCTGTACCCATAGAGGCCAGAAGAGTGTGTCTGATCCCCTGGAATTGGAGTTTGAACCACCATGTGAGTCCTGGGACCTGAGCCCAGGACCTCCAGAAAAGCAGCCCATGTTGTTAGCTGCTGAGCCAGCTCTCAAGAATTCTTAGAAACAGACATGAAACATAAAACAAGGAAACAGCACAATGCAGGGCAAGTTAGGCCCAGGTCTCATGTCCCTCAGATGTGGCTGAGTTTTTGTATTTACTTTTGGGGTGGAAAGCAGCAGAGAGTGCTTGAGTCTGGGTTATTATTCGTTTTTATATTGTTGCTGGGAACTGTACCCCAACCCAGAGTACGCAAGCGCACACTCCACTACTGAGTTACATGCCCGGCCTCCAGCTATACTGTTAGATTTGATGAACTCCCTTCACTTTTAGGTTATAAATTCAATCAACCAAAGTTATTTACTGACCCTCTGATGTATGCCTAGGATATATTGTCTCTGATCCTCCTTATGCCTTGATGTTCCCAGGGGTAGCTGAGGCAGGATGCTCAGCGTGAAGGGCTACTTCTCTGAGCTCTTCAGAGGGAAGGCTGGTCTACCAGGCTTTGGGGGATTTTGAGCCCTACCTAAGCTGTGCCCAGGTAGCTGAGGGGGTTGACCGTGTCCTGTTCTGGGAACAGCAGTGCTGCCAGTCCCTGCATTGTCACATGACCAAAATTGAATGTGAAAGAGATTTCTAGTCAATAATTCTTTGTCTCTGAAGACAATTTTTTTAAACAATTCAGCAGAGCCCTTGGCTTGCGTTATCATCAGAGAGGGACAGGAGGGGGAGAAAAGGGGGTGGGCAGAGGACAGACAGCCAGCAAGCAACTAAAGATAACTGGAGAATTAGAGACAGAAGCACGCACCCTCATTAGAAGCACCAGGGAGACAACCTATGCGTGATCAACTTCATTCTCTGAGAGAAACCATTTTCCTGGCTCTTTTCTTTAGAGTTTTGCAGAAGAAAATGGTTTATTTGGTTCTGTTTGATGCTTTATTTTGCTTTCTTTTGAGATAAGAATTTGCTCTGCAGCCCAGACTTGACTAGACTCACGATATAGACCAGGCTAACCCCAATCGTACATCTCAGCCCCTCACCAGCAGAGCCTTTTCATTATAACATGTTTTGGTGGCTCGCCTTGATGTCAGCAGCTGGCTAGTTCACAGGGCCACCCAGTGCTAGCCTCAGGCCCCAGAGTCATGACTGGCTGCAAAGAGTACCATCAGTCAAGAGCCAGGAACCCTGGACCACTAGAAGTACCCATGCTTCTGTCCTCCAGCGTTTTCTTAGGGTGCTTCATTTAACTTTCATAGTCTAGGTATTGGTGAAGATCAAAGCTGAAGACTCAGCAGATGAGAACCAGACGCCTGTCACTGTCACCTCTGGGGCCTTAGGGAAGGCTGTGAAAGCCTCCCCCTCCTTTCTGGCTGTCCGGAAACAAATAAAATAGGATACAGTTTTCCTTCCTATTGAAGGCTCTTGCTGGTAATAAAAAAAAATACAAAACAAATGTCTAAAGCGAAAAAAAAATGGCTTAGGGCTAGGATACTGTTCTATACACCAAGAAAGGAAGCACCTCCTCCAAGTAGGCTAACTCAGCCACATGGCCTGGCCTCATGTGTGCCCTGGGGTCTTGTCTGAGCTCAGAAAAAGGACATGTGGCTTCCATCTGTTCTCTGGTGGAAGCTGGTTACCCTCCGATACACACACTGGTGTCTGGGAGAAAGAGCTTTCTTTTCAAGGTCTTTGTTACAATTGTGGGGCTTAAGGAGCCTTGAAGTTATGGGTTTGTTTTACTCTATCAGATGAATCACATAGAAAGGGCCATCCTTTCAGAGTGGCTAGAAGCACTTACTGCTCCTGCAGAAGTCTGGAGTTTGGGTCCCAGTACCCACATGGGCAGCTCTCAGTACAGTATCCACTTCCAGGGGATTTGATGCCCTCTTCTGGCCTGCAAGGGATCCTGCATGCAAGAGCATGGAATATATGTACACACAGACAGACAGACAGACAGACACACACACACACACACAAATAATAATAAATAAATTAGGGCCATACAATTGACTCTCCATCTGGCCTGTCTGTGAGCATGTGTAGAAGACAAGTTTCTTCTCACAATTCTTTCTGCCTGGTGCTTGGCACAGCAGCTAGAAGAGGGGAAATGATGTCTGTATGTCCAGCAATTGCCCAGAAAAACCTTTCAGGTTTCTGATGAGTTCCTGAAACCCACTTCTGAGTCCTGACATGAAGTAAAAGCATGGCTGGGAGGTCTGGAAGGTTGTGGAACACCAGACACCTACCCATAAGACCCTGGTGAGAGGAGGAGCTTTCTGACCAGGAGCCAGATCTGCCAAGAGCCTGTGAGCCCAGGGACTCCTGTTCATAGCACACTTAGTTTTTGTGTGTGTAGACTCTGGTCTACTGAGGTGCTCCAGATGATGGTGGATGGGTCTCACATGTCCTCTCCTTTTTGCAGACATTACAGGTGATCTACCCCTATTCCCCTCAGAACGATGATGAGCTGGAGTTGGTCCCTGGGGACTTCATCTTCATGTCTCCCATGGAACAGACCAGCACCAGCGAGGGCTGGATTTACGGCACCTCGCTGACCACCGGCTGCTCGGGGCTGCTTCCAGAGAATTATATTACCAAGGCAGATGAGTGTAGCACCTGGATCTTCCATGGGTAGGTAGACCTACTCTCCTGCCCCTGTCGGTGACACCACCTGGTTGGCTTCCTAGTGGCTGCTCTCCATCTCTGGCTGGAAGATAGCAACATCTCGTGCCAAGCATGAACTGTTTCTGGGCTTCTGTCTACTTCAACCTGGGCCATTACTCTGAGGGAGGGGCGCTTCTCAGAGCAGCTAGACAGATTCCGTCTATGTCAGCCCAATCAATGACATAAAGAGACTATAAAATCTAGGGTCCTAAATGTAGCCCTCATTTGCTAGGTGACTCTAAGCGAGTCCTCAGACCTGGCACAAATGTGCTCAGGCGACAGAGACTGTGTTCAAGGTGACAGGCAACTGTTGGAACTTAACAGGAGCATGATTCCTCACATTCCTTATTGAGGTGACAGCCACCTCACTACTCTGCTGTCCTCAGTGCACACTGGGGTCCAGTGTCCAAAATGGATCACATTGTATGACCAGCTTTGTCCCCGTTATAAACAGAAACACAAAGCTGCTTTCTCTGCCCCAGGGAGCTCAAATCCAGCTGCCAGGCTTGACATGCAGGTTTGGTTTTCCCTCTGTTTTGTTTCTTCCCTGTGACAATGTTGCTGAGAGGCAGAAGCCCTGAAAACCTTGTGTCCTTACCTCCCATTGTTGCTCCTGTTAGAAGGGACCAGAGCAGGGTGACTTCTGCATCCTATTTTCCCAGGAGGCAAAAGAACCAAGAAGGTTCCCAGACAAACCACACACTCAAGATGGGAAAGAAGCCTCTTCCTTCCTCTGCCTCATGTGCCACCCTACCCCACTCTGTCCCCAGCCCACAGGCATCCAGATGTCTCATGCCCGCAAACATCCGGTTTTGTTTTAATGTTTCTGAAGCTGAAAATATAGAAGTTGAGACTCTAATCACCATTTTATCCCATAAAAATGAGGAATGGCTGGGAGAGACCACTCTGGTAAAGCTTGTAGACCCAGTGCTAAGAAAGTAGAAATGGGGGTGGGAGGTGGGTGGGTTCAACCAGCCTAACCTACTAGTGAGTCTCGGGTCAGTGAGAGACTCTTCAAGTAAAACAAAAGACAGCCATGTCTCACATTTGTAATAGCATTTGGGTTGGGGGTGGACTTTGTACACAGTAATGGGACCTTGAATCGTGTCGTGCAGCAAGCTAGCAGCTTAGTTTAAGCTCCCCCCGTTGCTATTCTGACAAATCACTTCCCGGAACATCTTCCCAGTAAGTGGCTCACGCACATACTGAGAACTGAAGAATTTGCTTGATGAAGCACAGCTTGTGGGTCTCTTTGTTAAGCAGTGGGGCTAGATGTGGGGGAGCACACACATGAAGTCCTGCTCACCCTTGTAAGACTTTCCGTGGAGCCCTCCTCCCTGATAGAACTCAGGCTCCACCGTGGGGGAAACTGACTGACCTCACTCAGGGCACCATGGAAGGTCTGTGTGTTATCTTTTATTGTGAAGATAGTTGTTGATGTTATCTCCTGGGAACTCTGCTTTCAGTTAAACTACCAGGTTCACCGCTGGCTCTGCAAAGAGTGTCAGGATGCAAGGGTTAGGCGTTGAGACTCTGCGATTAAGAACTTGAGTTTTAGTCACATTATATCCAAATCCTAGCTCTCTCGTATACCAGCGGTGCACACTTTGCCCAAGCTGAGTTACTTCTCAGGTTTGTGGTGACTCCAGCAGTACTGCCTACAGAACGCCCACTAGGGTTTTGATGATTTTTTTCTGTCTCTGTTTACCAGACCTCATTAAACTGAAGGTCTCTTCCGTAAAAATATCCCCATAGGTGAGCTGTACTTGAATGCTTACCGCCAGGGCTAAAAATAACTCGCAGAGGCATAGCTCAGCTTTGTAAGACAGATCTTCTCACGGGAGCCTAACCAAAGATGGACAGTCCTGGGGAGACACATGAGCCGCCTGTCTGGACCCTGGCTGGCTTCATGAAAAGCTGTAGAAAGGGTTAAGGCAGTGTCCAGAGACTTGGGGTGTCAGTGGCTTTTGTACCTCTCCCCACCTGGTGCTCCTCAGCCTCCTGGATGGCTAAGAAAATGCTCTCTCGCTGCTCTTTCTGGTGGCCATTTGTCCCTAAGTGTCCCTAACTATTTTCTGGGTGATGGTGGCCCACTGTCCTCTACAGTGGGGTGAGCTTCTGGCCTTCAGACGGGCCTAGCATGTTCTAGGCAGAAACTGGCATCTTTCTATTCCCTGAGAAGGGGTTCTGGGTATCAGACCTGCATCCTCTCCACCCTGGTCTGGCACTGTCCCCGCCCTGTCTCAGGGGGAGCCAGGACCTTTGAGTGTAGTGACACTGAAGACAGCAAGGAAGCTGCCATTCTCCTCCCCAAGGGAACTGGAGGGAGAGAAAGGCCCTATCATTTTCTTCCCAGCTGTGATAAAGTAAAGACGTTACAGACACAGCCCGGGGAGATGTCAGCATGATTCCAGACAGCTAGACGTTGAAGGCCTGAAGCTTTGATGAGCCAGACAGAGAGACTGAAGCTTCTTCAGTTGTATGCCGTTGGGGGGCTCTCTGCTTAAAATAAAGCAGAACAGCTGGCCTATTAGAGTGTGTGAATGGCTCAGATTCCTTGAGCTATAGTTACTTAAATTCGCTCATTACAGGTTTAATTTGACTGTGCATCATACTGAATAGACACGCCTTGTTGAGATACAGGCCTCTGGTTCTCTGGCTCTGGACCATGGCCTGTGGGGAGCAGGGCGCAGCCAGGAGCACCTTCGTGCATCTGTATGCACAGGGCTGCAAATCTCTCAGGGTCTGACACCTTCGCCTGAACATATCGTCAGGCTGAGGGCGCAGCTCAGTTGACAGAGTGTTTCCCCGCATGTCTGAAGCCTGGGGTTTGATCTTCAGCATCATAGAGACTGAGCATGGTGGTACATGCCTATAATCCCATCCCTTAAGAGATAGAAGCAGGGGGATCAGGAGTTTAAAGCCAGGCTCGGCTGTGTGTAGAGTTGGAAACCAGCCTGAACTAACTATATGAAACCCTGTCTCAAAGGAAAACAAAAATTGGTCTGTCATTTGTAGGGGGAAAGCGGAGGTATGGGGGACTAGGAAGGACAAAAGGTGTGCCACAGTTCTAAAATCATAAGATATTTTGAAAACAAAAACAAAAATCCAATCAACTTCTAACCTTTGATCTGACTGTATTACTCATGGGTATTTACCATCGACTTTAAGGCAGCATACAGTAGCATTTATAGAAGTACTGGTCACAGTAGCCAAATGATGGAACCAGGCTAGGTGTCTTCAGCAGAAGAGAGAATAAAGAGAATGTGGTAAATATGAGTGGGATTTGATGTAGCGGAAAACAAAACAATGTCCACTTGAAGGGAAGTAGCTACAATAGGAGATTATTATCGTAAAGGAATTAAGTCAGACTCAGAAAAGCAAATATTGCGCGTTTTCTCTTATGTGTCCATCTTAAATTTTATACAGGTACATAAAATCACATACACGTACATACGTACATAGGTATGACATGAACATAGAAATCAGACTGTTTAAAGGAGTTCAGAGAACTAGTGGGGGAGATGGGGTAGAGGGAGAAAGGGTGATCAAAGTACATTATCATTTTTTTGTTGTTGTTTTTGTTTTTCGAGACAGGGTTTCTCTGTGTTGCTTTGGAGCCTGTCCTGGAACTAGCTCTTGTAGACCAGGCTGGCTTTGAACTCACAGAGATCTGCCTGCCTCTCAACATTTTTTTTTTTTTTTGGTTTTTCGAGACAGGGTTTCTCTGTGGTTTTGGAGCCTGTCCTGGAACTAGCTCTTGTAGACCAGGCTGGTCTCGAACTCACAGAGATCCGCCTGCCTCTGCCTCCCGAGTGCTGGGATTAAAGGCGTGCGCCACCACCGCCCGGTGTACCCAGATTACAACCACCAGACAGAATCTCCGTGTAGCTGTCCTGGAACTTGCTGTGTAGACCAGGCTGACTTAAGAGTCAGAGTTCTGCCTACTTCGCCTCCAGAGCGCTGTGATCAAAGGGGTGTGCCACCACACCCAGCATCTAAGTCCATTATGTACTTGTATGACAATGTCCCTATGAAACTAAGTCCTGTGCACAATGAATATATGTTTAAAAAAAAACAAACCAAAAAACTAGAGGTAGGCAATTTTTAAAAACCCGAAAACCAGCTTTCTTACTGATTTTAGAAAATATGGGAAAAAAATTCAAATATAAAATTCTAATATGCATACTGTGTTAAAGACAAATACTGCAGAGTGGGTGCCTGCACAGATCGCAGGGTCCACAGACACAAACCCAGACTTGATTGAGCACAGCGGGCTTTACCAAGAGCGAGAAATTGAAAATTCAAATACTTCCTTTTGAGACTGCCCGGTGACCGGGGAGATGTTTGTTGGATCTGCCCAGTGGCCGTATTTAAATAGCAGCCCTCAGTAGAGAAAGCTTTGGAGAGCCGTACTGTGTGCAGAAATTTTCAGTGTGGCATGTTTGGACAGTCCTGCTCTCAGCCAGAGCGCCTGTGGGCCTGCAAAGTTACAGTGGCATAGTCAGAAATAAGAGTTCTTGGCTCACAGCTCCAAACATCTGGCAGGAGTCAGCTCCTCTGAAATAACCCAGCTTTTAATCATCTCCTTGAAGTTGCTATGGAGGCGAGCACAGTGCTGGAGGCTGAAGAAGGCAGGTTGAGGGACAAGGGGTAAGACTGCTCCTGAGCCTCATAGCCACGGGCAAGTGGCGCTGGGAAGACATCTCCCCTCGCATTCCTCGGATGGAAATTGCCATGGAAAAGATTAAAGGCAGCGGGAACTGTTTGTTTCAGTGCAGCGACAGAAAGAGCTGGAACAGTGGTACATAATTGATACCTCATTATTCTTTAACGTGTCTTTGCTGCCAGCCCCGCCTGTGGCATCCTGATAAGCCTAGAATCACTGGACCCCATCCCTGCCCAAAGAGATGAGTGCATCTGTTCTTAGCTCTGAGAACTGTCCGCCCCTTGTTTATTAACTATGAGACTTCAGTCAAAAACAAGATGTTCTTGCCTGGGGATGGGTGTTCCTGCTCAGGTTCCCAAACACCATGTGACGAGACAGTCCTTTGTGCTAATTCCCATACTCCTGGCCAAAGCAGTTAACCCTTTCCTCTCCTTCCTCTGCAGTTCATACTCCATCTTAAATACCGTGTCACCCAGCTCCCTCACATTTGGTGATGGGGTATTGGAGAGGCGACAGTATGAGGACCAAGGACTCGGGGAGACGACGCCTCTCACTATCATCTGCCAGCCCATGCAGGTGAGGCTGACCATGGGGGTCATGTCGTGTCCTCGAATCTAGTCGGGATGCTCTGAAGACCATCCTCAGCACTGACCTTGCTTCTTTCAAAGGGTCCCTAACCTTACGGGGAGACAAGTACACAAGGTCATAAAAGACACACAGTAGTCCTGAACTAGGAAGAGAAGGGTGAGTGGTGCCGCCTGTGGGCATTGCCATGTGGGCCTGAGCTTGGAAGCAAGGCCATCCCAAGGAAGGAAGAGGAGGCTTTCTCTCACAATAGAGATGACAGCTATATTTGTATCAGCAGAGTGAGGTTCCTAGCGTGGTCAATGGACTTGATAATTCAGTATCTTTTGATAACACTTGGGAGACAGGCTGGAGGAAGGAGTAGGAGCTGTCAGGCAAAACAGAGACAGGTTGAAAGTTCAGCGTGTTCAGGGTGAAAACGGAGGAGATAGACTTGTCTGGAGCCCAGGGTTTGAGTTAAACAACATCAAGAAAGCAGGTGGCAAAGTCCACAGCACCAGTCCACCCATTAGCCCTGGCAAAACAAAAAGAAGCCACTGGAAGAGTGGTGGCCAGCAAGGGCCTGGCAGCTCAAGGCAACTGGGAACATCAAATGCATCAGCAGGAAGGATGGAGAAACTTCTGTGCAGTGCCGCTAGCAGCTGTGGAAGTCAGTTGACTCAACTTGTCTAAGTCACCATTGGGAAGCTGCAGCTTAACCCCCTGAGCGCATTCTAGAAAATCAATCTGTGTAGTCAGATAACAGAGTGCACATGATGATTGGGATATACAGAATGTGGCTGGAGGGAGAGAGGACTCAGCAGGTAAGGGCACTGGCTGCCCTTCCAAAAGACCCAGGTTCAACTCCAGCACCCACATGGCAGCTTATAGCTGTCTGTAATTCCAGTGCTAGTGTATTCTTCTGGCCTCTGTGGACACTGCACATACTTGGTACCCATTCATGCATGCAGGCGAAACACCCATAGACAAAAATAATAAAATTGTAGAAAAAAATGTGCACAGCAGGGCACTGGATATAAACTAGGCATGAGGCAGACACCTGTGAAGATGGAATTTCTCCCTCCTAGAAGGAACGTATCTCTTTGGAGGAGATAGCTGCCCTTCTGGATGATCATCTCTACATTAAGGACAGGTTTGACCCATGACCTGTACCTTAAGTAGCCCTCCTGATACAGTAGGGGGCAGCAAAGAGCGTGGCACGTAATCCTTCCTATTTCAAAGCACCTGCAGGTATCTCTTAGGCACCTGAGAGTAATTTATGACATCTGTAGGAGGAATTTACTATCCTCGCTTTACAGGCAGGCCAAACTGAACTCAGGGAGGTCAGGGAGATTGTCGGAGTCATATACTGGCAGAATTTGTCCCAGAGCTCCGCTCACTGGGTATCAGGGTGCACCATCTGTGGGTGCAGAGTGTCTGCTTACTCCTTGCTTTTCTTCTTCTGCAGCCCCTGAGAGTCAACAGCCAACCTGGGCCCCAGAAGCGATGTCTCTTCGTGTGTCGGCATGGGGAGAGGATGGATGTTGTGTTCGGGAAGTACTGGCTATCCCAGTGCTTTGATGCCAAAGGTGAGTGACTCCTTTCATCCAGTTTGACTCTGTGGGTTCAGCTAGCCACAGTTAACCATGGTCTAAGACTAGTAAATGGAAAGATCTCAAACAAGCTGTCTAGCTTAGTTTGGGTTTCTACTGCTGTGGTGAATCACCATGACCGAAAAGCAAGCTGGGGAGGAAAGGGCTTATTTGACTGACACTTCCATATTGTCAACCATCATTGAAGGAAGGACAGGACAGGAACTCAAATAGAGCAGCAACCTGGAGACAGGAGCGGATGCAGAGGCCGTGGAGGGATGCTGCTTACTGACTTGTTTCCCATGGCTTGCTCCCCATGGCTTGCTCAGTCTGCTTTCCTATAGAACCCAGGACCACCAGCTCAGGGGTGGCTCCACCCACCATGGGCTGGGCCCTCCACCATCAATCACTAATTAAGAAAATGTTCTACAGGCGTGCCTGCAACCCAATCATATGACATTTTCTCAATTCGGATTCCCTCCTCTCAGATGACTCAAGTTGATGCAAAATTAGCCAGAACATAAGCAATCGGTTTGTTTTATGTTATGATCCCTCCACTCTAAGTAACGTGATAAAAATCTCAGGCTGCCCAAGTCTGTCCCATCTGGGTCATCATCCCTTTGTCCAATGTATCCACAGTGCATATTGTACCCATCCATTTCTCACCTGCTATCATCTTAGTTATAAAATCTGCTGTCACCGTATCATTTGTTTCTCTTCACTGGGTCCTGTAGTCACAGCGCCCTTTCATAAGAATTCCAAGAACACCACAATTCGGTGTTTTATGCGAGACATCTCTGTAACTTGCATTGTGGTCTATCATTTGATTATTCCTCATTGCTGCGACTGACTTATAAGTTAAATGTTATGATAGGTGTGTTTTGTGAGAGTGAAAAACGTAGTCTGTTCAGGATCCATCCCTGTCTATGGTTTTAGGCATCTAGTGGGGCCCTTGGAATCCATCACAGGTCTCAATGGTTGATGGCCTGCACAGCAATGCATACCCATAACGGCCTCTAGGGGGCGCAGTCAAGCTGCTTTTATGTACATGTAGTCATCACGTACATGCAGTTACAAAATTCATGGAATCTGAGTCCTTCTTGATTGTTCCAACTTAAAGGGAAAAGATAAGTGCTTTGTCCACATTCTATAAGCTGAGGTACCAGGAAGCAAAGAGTCACTGTATCTTGCCCACATTCAGACAACAAAACCAGTTCAGAGACACGTGCTGATTCTGTGACCGGAGTTCCTGCCATGGCATCTCTGTGGCCCATCTGGTTCCGTTCTCACTTGAGTAGCATTTTAAGAAGGGGAGCCTTCCCTGAGTCTGGTTGTTACATTCACTGAGAAATTCCCTCATCGCTGTCATCAGCAGAAGGGAGGGTGGATTCTAAGTCAGTCCACTGAAGAAAAAGTGTCAGATTCAATGTTTTCCATTGCCTTCAGACAGTTTTGTTCAGTGTCTCTGACCAAGAAGGAGGAGGGGTCAGGATCACTGAGGAACGTCTCGAGTAAAGAAAAAGTCTATGCGGTCTTTATTTGCTCTTCTTCTCCCACCAGGCCGCTACATACGCACCAACCTGAACATGCCTCATAGCTTACCTCAGCGGAGCGGTGGTTTCCGAGACTACGAGAAAGACGCACCAATCACTGTGTTTGGGTGTATGCAAGCAAGGCTAGTGGGTAAGGGCCCCTGAGATTGCATAGTGTCTCCTGGCTCGTTCAACAGACCCACACCATGAGTGTGTAAACACACTTCTTGGGACTTCCATGTGTGTGTGTGTGTATATTTGTTTTGTTGGTTTTTTGAGACCGGGTCTTATAGACCACCAGGATAGCCTAGAATATCAGATTTTCCTGCCTCAGCTTTCTTTGGGCTGGGATTCCAGGTAGGCTTCTGCTTGTTACAGACTTGATCCTGGCGAGGAATGGAGATGGAAAGTCAGGCTTGGTTTACATATGCCACTGGTCTAGTCATGTGTCCCCTGATAGCTCAAGACAGTAGCATCTGCCAGCAGGTGTAAGGAGAGCTGAGGGTGAGGAAGAGGTACAGGGGCATTGCTGAATTTGCACAGGCCCGGTTACTTTTTGAAGCTGTTCAGTTCTTTGAAAGCATTTTCTGTACTGGCTGTGCAGAAACTATGTCATGTACTCCTCAGTCATCCAGTACATATTTATTGACCGTTTACTTCGGGGCAAGTTCCTGGACGAGGTAACTGTGACCCAGGTATGAATGGACGCACATGTATGTGTTGTGGGTGGCGGTCAGACTGTATGGCTGACCGAACAACAAGCCGCACAGAGTATAAGGAGAATAGAAAAGAGAAGGGATGGAAGGAAGCAATGACGATGGAGAAGGGAGAAGAAAGGATGAGTAAGAGGCAAGGTGAGCCGGGGTCACATAGGAGTCGTCTGTAAAGAAGGAACAGAAGGGAGAGAGGGGCCTTCTTGGCATCGAAGACAATAGAAACCAAACCGCAAAGATTAGGCATAGCATCGAGAGATCCCTGCAGCTAACAGTTCACTGAGAAAAGACACAACAAAAGCTTGGCGAGCGAGTTCAGTCCCCAGAACCTACACAAAGGTGGGAGGAGGGAACTAAAGTTGACCTCTGACTTCCATATGTACATGTGCTCTCCTCTCTCTCTCCCCCCTCACACACACACACACACACATACACAACAACAACAACAATAATAAATACATTTTAAAAAATGAATAACATTACAGTGGAAGCCGGGCGGTAGTGCACACTTTTAATCCCAGTACCTGGAAAACAGAAGCAGGTGGAGCTCTGTGAGTTTGAGGCCAGTTTGGTTTACAGAGCAAGTCCCAGGACAGCCAGGGATACACAGAGAAGCCTATCTTGAAACAATCTAAAATAATTAATATAATGATAGTAAAGAGTACATGGGATGCTGCGAGCTGTTCTTATTTCCAGAGCACAGGTTGAGTCAGGTCAGGAGAAAGGACTGGCAAGGTAACCAAGTCCATGGAAGACACCGACCCCACATGAAGATGTTTAGCGTTTGCCTACTAGAGAAAAGCAGTGGACCACATGGGGAAGCATTAAAGCATTAGTTGGGTCTCAGATGTTCAAGAGTCTGGCAGCTGAGATTGGGTTCCCACACTGGAATTATAACAAAGTCTGACTAACCCCCTCCCAGTGATCACAGAACGGGTTTCAGCATCTTCCCAGTAGAGGTCAGAGCATTACCCTGCTGGTAGGCCTCCCCACGAGGGCGTTTTGTTGCATGCTGGCATGAGAAAGAAAGAAGTCATGAAGAGGCGTGTTGCTTTGCCTCTTCTGTGGATGCACTGATGGGGATCTGGCTGACACTACTGGCTCTCTGTGAGCTGCTGCTGGGGAAGGGAGGTGTGTGGATCTGCTTGGCTTGGTCCCATCGAAGATCAAGATGAAACCCAAGTGACTCCATCATGCTGATTCTCGGCTGATTTGCTCGGCAGGTGAAGCCTTGTTAGAAAGTAACACCGTTATTGATCACGTTTATTGCTCTCCATCCCTACGCTGCGTTCAGACTGCACATAATATATTGAAAGGTAAGGCTCATGGCTTGACAGCAGTTATGTAGTTCATCCGACTGTTTCCTGGCACTTACTGCAGAGTTATGGAGCTTCAAAAACTGAAAGTTTGTTTTTGTTGTTGTTGTTTTATTTGAAACGGTTTCAAGGTAGCGTGTAACTGAGGTTACCCTCCAACCTACAGCAATCCCCCTGCCTCAGTCTCCTGAGTGCTAGGATTACAGGCTTGAGCCATCTTGGCTCACACAAATCTGGAACTTTTATTGAAAATTCTTCCACAAGGTGACCAACCTTGAACAAAAGTCATACTCCTGTGATGTCATCCAGATAGAGGGGAGATGCCAATCATTTTTCTCTAAGAATTTTAAGCTGTCTTGGATAGGTTATAGCTATACAGAAATCTTTACACCTTTTATAGACGTGATTCTCTCTCTGCATTTAAGTAGTTGAATCTGTTGTTTACCTTTTGTTCATGGCAGCGGCTGAGCTGTAGGGAGTTCCACAGCATCGCCATCTTACTTTCTTCGGTTAATTGGAAAGACGTACTTATTCACTTATTTTTGAGACACGGTCTCACTGTGTAGCCTTGACTGGCCTGGAACTCACTTTGTTGACTAGATTGGCCTCAGACTCACAGAGATCCACCTCCCTCTACCTCCTGAGTGCTGGGATTAGGTACACACCACTGTACCCCACAAACTGGAAAGGCTTTAAAAGCCCCCTCACTATAAAAGTACTCAGCTCTCACCCTAAAACCCATGGAAGTTTGTATTAGAGCCGTCTCTATTCTCCCCGCTTTGGAAAGGAGACGGGGCAGGGGAGGCGGGGAGGCGGGGAGCTGGACTGAACTTGAGCCAGACAAACAAATGAGCCAGAAATAAAGAAGCCAGCCAAGGATTTGACACAACACTTGAATCCTCTGTTCTTAACCTTAAGTAAACCTTCCTCTCAGTACAGAAGCGTCTGTGTGCTCACTGTGCACAGAGAAACTGGACTAGAGGCGGTGTAAGGAGAGCTGAGTGAGTCTGAAGGGAAGATTTGTGCTCCCGGGGAATCACACTATGATAAAACAGAACGTGTGCACTGGCACATGGAAATGCTGGGTTCCCTGATGGACAAAGCGAGGATTTGTGTGGCGCCCAGGTACAGTGTAAGCCACTGTACCGTCGTGGGTGCCATGAGACTAGCTGAAGTCTTTGAGTGTTGTTCTGTAAGATGCCATGGAATTCACTAGAGTGAGAATTATAGTGTGGAAATGAGAGGGACATGGCGGTGCACACCCGAAATCCCAGCACTCCAGAGAGGGACGTGGCGGTGCACACCTGAAATCCCAGCACTCCAGAGAGGGACGTGGTGTTGCACACCTGAAATCCCAGCACTCCAGAGAGGGACGTGGCGGTGCACACCCGAAATCCCAGCACTCCAGGGGAAGCCAACGCAGGAGGATTGAGGATGTGAAGTCAGCCTAGCGCATATGGCGAGACTTTTGTTTCTGACAGTACAAAGAGAGTCAAAAGCTTGGACAGACTGGGTAATGACTTGAGGAGGGGAGACTTTCTCTTCACACTGCTAATGGCCAGCATGCATGGTGGAGGTGCAGCCACAGGAAAAAATGTCCTTGTTGGTAAACAAAAATTTATTGTATTTTTTTAGCACATGCTTTATTCATAACTGTAAAGTTTACCTATTAAATTCATTTACGGTTTACACTGTAAAACACAAATTTATAAATTTGTCCGAACCTGTGTGCTTCCAATTTAAGTAATATATTGAGTCTAGTAGGAAAGCAATCACTGCATTGTTATTAACATATTTTTTATTTTTGAGTACCATTACACTATCTCCCCCTCCCTTTTCTCTTCCCTAACCCTTTGCCACATCCCCCACTGTCTCTCATGACCTTTTTTCATCAGCTGTTACAGTGTGCATTTGTCTTTCTGAATCCATAAGTACCACGTGTCCCATTTGTACAGTGCTGTCTATATGGATGGTTTCAGGCTGTCCCTTTAGTATTGAACAGCCATCAGAGACGCTCTTCCCTGGAGAAAACCACTCTCCCATTCTCAACACTCCCCAGTGGCTCACAGTTCCTTATGTAGGGTTGAGGCTTTGTGGGCTTCCCCATCCCACTCCACCATCATGCCTGCTGGTGCCATCTTCGTTCTGCTCATGTTTAGCCCATCATGTTTGTGAGACTTTATCTTCTGATATTCCTAGGAGATACACTCTTGTAGCAAACTCCCTGGACCTCTGTTTCTTCCCATCTTTCTGCTCCCTCTTTCGCAAGGTTCACCTGAACGTTAGGTGTGGGATGTAGGTTAGGGTTCTGTATATGGATCTTTTGGGACTGAGCTCCACAATTCTGCCTCTACTTAGCTGTGGTCTTCTGTAATGTGTTTCAGCTGTTGCAAACAGAAGTTTCCTTGGTAAAGGGTGATGACCATACTTGTGTGGGGTTTAAGGATGAATATTTAGCATGTAGTTGGGGATTGTGCTGGTTTAGTAAAGTTGCAGGATCTTCCCCCAAGATCTGTGACTTCACTAACCCCAGGTAGTTGGCTAGGCTTCTGGTACCAGGCATGATTTTGCTCACACTGAGCAGGTCTTAAGACCAGCTAGAGTGCTGTTGGTTATCATGGCACTAGTACACCATTAGGGTTTTCATGCCATGGTTAGCATCATTGTGGTTACAGACATTAAGAGCTCAGTAGGACTTTTGGTTGCTTCCCTCCTTTGGAAGCTTGCACATCCTGCTCTGCCTTGTGATTTTTGTCACAGCTTATTGTGTGGTTCATTCTTTTCCACTGACGATCTAGTGAAACTTCCTTCATCTTCGTTTCACTTCATCCCTAAGGTTTACAACAGGACAATCACTTAAAGATTCGGGTCGAGCCCGGCTTATTTGAATGGACAAAGTGGGTTGCTGGGAGCACATTACCGGCGTGGATACCTCCATCGGAGTTAGCTGCGGCCAACCTCAGTGTTGATACAACCTACAGGTAACTTCCTGACTTGCTGTCTCCCTGGTACCCTGTGTCCTGCACTGTTAACCGTGCCACGTTCATCAAGCAGATGATGGACCTCACAAGACCTCCACAGAATTGTTTATAGTGGTAGAAATCAAGCTACAATTTTAGAAACCGGGACTTGGGGAAGTCCAGTGTTTCCTTGTATTTAATTATATTTATTATATCTACGTCAGTGTAGCAGTAATGACATCGCGTATTTTAGGAAAACACACAAAGTGAGGATAGAACGGCTCAGTGGATGTGGGACACGACATCCATTTCTACCTTAGACCTTCCAAATCACTTGCTTATTTATCCTTTTGAGTCAGGGTCTCATTATTGGAAGGCCTGATTTTCCTGAGTGTCTCCCAAGGGCTGTGACTACAGGCACGGGCCGCCATATCTGCCTTCCACTGGATTTTTAATTCTCCTATGGTCATTTGTTATTCTTATGATCTTGGAAAGCGAAAGCGACTGAGGTGTGTGTGTGTGTGTGCATGCACACAGACATACAAGCACTCTGCTGAACCACGTTCCCAGCCCAGAAAGCCATGTTTATGTATATGACAGTCCAAGTGGCTTGCCTATGGTAAAACGTCTTGTGACCAAGTGTGGAAATAATAACGATGACATCACTGTGTTAAAAAAATTGACATTTATTAATATTTCTCTGTGTCTCCGGTTCTGTGTGTTCTGCCTAGTAGCCATCTAGTTCTGTTTATTGCTCTTTCCATTAGACCATTCTCTGTGCTAGGATTAAGCCATTAGACCATTCTCTGTGCTAGGATTAAACCATTAGACCATTCTCTGTGCTAGATTGTTTTCAATGCCCCCAGGTGAACAATCTGCATGCATGGTAAAGAATTAGCCAATAGTAATACAGTGGCAGTACCAATCAAAAGCCCACCCCATGCTTTGAGGGAAGACCAGAAATCACAACCATTTCAGTAGGAAATAAAATTCCTCTTTCTTAGGGCAGAATTTGGCAGAGTGACTGACCATTCTGCATAGAATTGTCTTCCCTGTGCTCTCTGTTGGCCTCTTACTGTGGATAATCCATTGGGTTCCTGGACAAGGTGGAAGAGAATCTCCTTCTCCATATCCCTTCTTCTGCTCTGTGGGTAGGAACTAAGATAGCGCAGTTGCTCAGCTCTGTCTAAAGGGAATTAGCTTTCCTCCGACATCCCATTAAATTGCACTCATCACTCGTCCACCTCACATGTTCTTCTGGCCACTCTCTGGCTATTGTTTCTCTCTTCCTGTGGGGGAAATAGCAGTAGACTATTGGCCCTGTGCCAATGCCTTCACCTTTCTGCTGGGAACGAGGTCAGGTTGCGGCTGACAGTGAAATAGCTCTCCCCTCTCTACCCAGCCCCATCCGAGTCCTCGTGGGTGGCTGGGTTTTGGTTTCCTCTGAGCATGTGTCCCACGCTGTTTCCCAGGATGACCTACAGCGTTCTACAGATGTGTTCCCGCTGAGCTTTTCACTGCACTCCAGATGTGCACCCAGGCCACACACCCACCAGCTGTGCAGGCAGGATAAATCTTGGGAATTGCTGGATCAAGACATGGTCCTTATTCTAGGTTTTCTTTTCCATTTTAAAATTGAGTGTCACATTTTCTGCAAATTTTGAATAGGAATAGGAAGCCTCTGATTCCACGAATAAGTTGAGAAAACCAAAAGTAAAATTTGAGAGGCAGTATGGTGGAATTGACCACTGTCATGAATGGCACCAAGTGAATAGGCCGGCAGTTCTCAACTTGTGGTTGAGAATCCTTTGAGGGGTCAAACAACCTTTCACAGGGTCTGCTAAGACCATTAGAAAACACAGATATTTACATTATGATTCATAACAGTGGCAAAATTGCATTTATGAAGTAGCAACAAAAATAATTTTATGGTTGGAGGTCACCACAACACGAGGATCTGTGTTAAATGGTCACAGCGTTAGGAAGGGGCAGAAGCACTGCAATAGACCGTTGGAGCAAGTAAATGAAGCTCAAATGGTGACACAGAAACACTCCCAGGAGTCAATATAATCAGAGCCAAGCATGCTCCGCTTGCAGAGCCTGGCCTCCAGGGCTCAGTGGGTATGGGCTCTGGCAGAAAAACTGTGCTTGGTTCCCATCACCCACGTGACTGTTCACCACTGTCTGTAACTCCATTTCCAGGCAAGCTGATGCCTCTTCTAACCATGTCATGCTCCTGTACATACATGGTACACTTCTATACACTCGGAAGGGAAGGACTGGAAGCAAAGTGAGGAAACCATACGAGGCTAGTACCTCATAGCTAGGCAGCATCCACAGGTAGCAGCAGCAGCCTGTGGGATGCTGGGTGTAGAAAGCAGGCAAGGGAGCTGGGCCAAGAATACAAGAGATAAAAACAAATACAAAATATTCTCCCCACTGGGAAACACTTAGAGCAGAATACAGGGCCCTGACATTTGGCTGTTGTGGGAGGGCCAGGGAGGACAGGGGACTGAAGCAGGTCATGGATGTGGGGTGCCAGCAGGCTGAGCTTTGAGTGCAGCTCAGGGCAAAGCCTGCACTACAGATTGAACCAGTACAGGTTGGAGAAGAGGGGAGAATGCTGGGAGAACCACCAGGGAACCCTTCAAGTTCCAGGTACAGTAAGTGGTTGGAAGCTGACCTAACTCTAAAGGTGACACAGGGCCTTGTAGATATAGTTAGCAGTGTGATAGATAGGTCCTGCTCATAGGAGAAACTTGGACTCTGCCTCATGTCCGTCAGGACATCCTTCAAGATGCTGGGAGAAGCCAAAGGCAAGAACAGATGAAGAGCTAGGTCCTAAGATACCATTTTTTGTTTACACAGATCTCAGATATGACAGTGTGGTCTCACCCACAGAGTGACTCCCTGACCAGACAACATGGCCTTTTGTTACACCATGGGGGTGGGGGGAGGAGCTCCTGGGAGACAGGATAACATCACTCACGGTGGAACTGCGCCAGAGGTGGGCGTGGACAAAAAAGGCCAGAAAGAGGAATATCCTCCAGAACAAAGATGTCCGTCCCTTAGTGGTGGTGACTCTTGCCTCTCTGTGTCCTCTGGGAAAGAGTCGGGTGGTGGGCATCAGGAAGCTTCCTCCTGGGAGAAGAGGACCTGTTGAGTGAAGATGAGGAAAAGCAAGTTCCCTCTGAACACAGCAGTGTTGACTTTCCTGATAGTAAAATAGAGCACCAGATAGACAGACAGGCTTTTGGGGTTTTTTGTTTGTTTGTTTGTTAATTGGTTGGTTGACCAATTATTTACGTGTTTGGTTGGCTGGTTGGTTGGTTGTTTGGTCTGTTTGCTGTGTAACCCAGGCTGGCCTTTAGTTTCCATTAGCAGTTCTCCTGCCTTAGCCCCGTGAGAGCAGAAATTTCATTTTGTGCCAGCATACCCAGCTGTGATGGGTGATCTCGAAGAGAACACTATCGGAAGTTGTCCTGTGTAAGAGGTTCCATTCGCAGGACACATCCAAGACTCAGCTTCAAATCCCAGCTCTGAGAATAGTTAAAGACACAGCGTGTCAGCTGTCAACCTCAGAGCCAGTTTGTCACCTAGAGACTTAGAATTTATGCAAGTGTTGCTGGGAAGGCACCACTGGAAGCATGCAGGCGGTGCAGTTTCAGAGAGCCCTGGCACATGGGGGTCTGAGTAAATATTTTCTGGACTAATTTTAACTAGTAGTTATTTCAAAGTTATAATCAAGATGCCTTGTGAAGTTAGCTCAACACCTCCTGTACCAGCACAACACCACAATTCAACAATTAAAGACACAAGAAAATGGAAAAGGCATAGGACATAAATAAGACAAATACTTCATGGACCAAAAACTCCATAAAATGACAGAGGGGTAAACAGACCCCTCGTCATGTGCATGGGTGACTGGTCACCATGGTGAATACTTTGATTCACCTATCAAATGCCCTTATAGGTTGGGTCTCACAGTTATGGTTTCCCTCTATAGCATCCCCACCTGGTCCACACAGAGAGCTTCTCAAGTGGAGAAATGAATTCATCTTTGTGTCTCTCAGGCTTTTCCTGGCACTGGGTGCATGGTTTAAAATAAGATGCAAAGAGGAGAAAAGTGGCTGATGGGAATTTCATTGGCTCACAAATAGATGGACAGCACATCCGTTTTTCTGAGCATTCCTTGCAGCTCATTGTGCATAAAGCCGCCAAGGAAAGTTCGAGCCCTCCCGGTAATCTATACAGAGGGACCAGTCTCCACCTTACTCCCCCTAAGCCAGATGGTTAGGACCCTCGGTGACCAGTGATGCCACAAAAAGTATGCAGTCTGCTTAAGTGTGTCCCTGTGGGTAAGACAGTCACGGAATGCCCCCCTTTTCCATTGAGTCACTGTGCGTGACACCATAACTTTTAAGTCTCAGCATCTGCCTGACAGAAAGTCTCTGCCCTGCACCCCTTTCTTTCCTAAGAAACGAGGAAACAGAAACACAGAATCTTCCAAAAGATCTGGAAGTATAGAGAGTGATGTCATGTTCCTTTATCTCGGGATCAAAACGTCCTCTCCTTTGTTTGCTTTTCTGCTGTAGACCTCACATCCCAGTCAGCAAATTAGTGATTTCCGAATCCTATGACACCTACATCAGCAGAAGTTTCCAAGTGACGAAGGAGATAATAAGCGAATGTAAAAGCAAAGGTAGGTGGTGTTGCTTGGGACCCCATTGCACACATGGGCATTACTCCTTTGCCATTTATGGGCTGTTCGGGGTGTTTTGAATTTGCTTTTTCCAATTTAGTAGGAAAGATAAATATTCCCAGGCTCTCTTGTGGAGCCTTTCACGTTCAGTTTGTGATAGCCTGTGAGCATGTAACATGAGTGATGCACAGGGACCCGGTAGATGGCGTTACTACATTGAGTAAGCTGGGCTCTGCAATGTATCCTATGGGGAGGATGCCCAGTTAGAATTTCCAGAAGTTCTATAGAATAATACCATCTCCCTGCAGTGATCCAGGATGGGGACCGCTGTGTAGACACAAACTCATCCACAGAAATGCATGCACTGCTTGCCTCTCGGAGACTGGTCTCAGGTTTGGGATATGAAGGACAGCAATAGCTGTTACAGCCCATCTTTTAAAGCGAAAAGCCACAGACACAAGGCCGGCAACCTGAAGGCTGTTTTCCAACTTATTGGATTGGCTTATTCAAAGGGTTACTAGCAGTGATTGGTCTATTCCAGGGCAGGAGAATAGCTGCATGGTCAGGTGAAATAAGGGGGAGCATCTGTGGGCCATCCTGACCTTGTTCCAGTGACTAAATCAATACATCAGGAACTGAGTCAACATCTGTGGCTTGTCTTTGCCTCAGTTCCCAGAATAGAGTTATGTTTGAAGATTATTCACAAGGACACAGGAGGATGAGCAGTCCAGCATGTGTGTGTGGGGGTGACTGTCCTGTTTCCAAATGCTAAGAGGCTTCAGACAATGTCTTTAGAGCTGAGAGGCCTCAGAAATGCATTTAGAGTCTTCAGAATAAGCCTCTGTGTGTGATTTATTTGGTAGATGTATGGTGAGCCCCTCAAAAGGGGTAAAACATCACACGACACAGGGAGCCTGCAGACGGAGAGCAATAAGCTTGTGTGTCAGTTGTGCTGATGGTTACATATCCATGTGAGAGTGTCACCAAACACTGTATGCTCACACCCAAAACAGTGCTGATGAGCCTGGTGAGATCAGAATCGTGACTTGTACCCACATCTCTTTCTATGTTTTTGATGGTAAAACATTACATCGTGAAGCATGGAATTCCGGGGGAGGCTGGGTGAAGAGACATGAACCCCCTTCCTCCCATGATGTGTGGGGGTTGACTTCTTATAAATCTGTGATTCTTTCTACTTTTTCCTTTTTAAATTATCACACAGGATATTAGATACTATTATGGTGTACGAGGTATTAGATATTGTTGTGAACGTTTTCAAAAGAAGTGTCTTTTGGTAGAGTCTCCACCCCCAAAATTGCCTATTTCTTTGCAATGTCCAGGGCATTGTGCACTCCAGAAATGTCTACCACTGAAATCTATCCCTAGATTTCTTTAAAATTTTTAATTTGCTTATAATAATCATACCTATTTATAGCACGCACTGTGATTTCAGTATATGTGTATGTGGTGAATAGTGAGTGAGCCGGTCGGGATAATGAGCCTGTCTCATTTCCTAGGAAATAACATTCTGATTGTGGCCCACGCATCTTCCCTCGAAGCCTGTACCTGCCAACTCCAAGGCCTGTCCCCGCAGAACTCCAAGGACTTCGTCCAAATGGTCCGGAAGGTAATCCGCTCCTGCATTCATGGGGCCTGTGGTACTTACTTTGCATTTCTGTAACTGCTTGGTGACCAGCTGATAGCTAATTTCCTTGAAGCAGAATTTTCCACTGAGCTGGGAAGACTCGTTGACTCATTCACGCAGCTAAGATGTGTGCAAGTGAACTCTGTAGGGTATTTGATTAGGACCACGTAAGAGAAAAAGGTTTAGTGGAGGATGCTAAGAACTGTAAGCAGAGGCAAGTACCAGTGCAGCGGAGAACTTAGCCTGGAGAGCAGGGGAAACAGCGTGTGAGAAAAACCAGGCTGAAGATCAGCTCCGGACCAAGGGAGTTACCCTCTGGTCTGGATTCTTCCTTTTGCCTGTATTTTCCATCAGCCATACCCCCCCACCCACCCATGCCACTTCATGCGAGGATGCTATCTCCTTTCCCTTCGAACAGAGTTCAAACTCAATCACAATTTTCTTATTTATATAAAAAAAAATGTTTCCTCAGGTATGCATCCATCCCATCAGTCTGTAATCTACCGGGGCAGATTATGGCTTCTTGCTTATGACTGGATATTGAACACAAAAATAAGCTCTGAGTTGCTTCGACAGCCCGTGGTTTCTTCTCTGAATGTCACAAGTGCTCGTGCAGGATTCCCCGAAGAAGATCAAACAAAGTTGATGCTTTTTGTCTTTTTTCTTTTTGTTGATTTTTTTTCAAGACAAGGTTTCTTTGTGTAACCCTGTTTGTCCTGAACTAGCTCTATAAAGTAGGCTGACCTCCATCCCACAGAGATCAGCCTGCCTCTACCTCCTGAGTGTTGGGATTAAAGGCGACACATTTTTTAAGGTGAATGATCAGCTAGGTGTGGTGGCACGTGTCTGTAATCCCAGTCCTTGGGAAGTAGATCCCAGATGATCAGGACTTCAAGGTCATTCTTAACTGCATAATGAGTTCAAAGCCAGTCTGGACTACACGAGACCCTAACTCAAAAAACTTGAATATTATTTCCCATTATGGCCAAATAGAAAATGAGAAATTCTTGATATGCCTTTTAAACTTGATGTACAATTTGGAGTTTAATACTTGGTACAATTGCATTACTCCAATCTCTTCCCAACCCTGAGGTCAACTGAGGTCTGAAAATATAGATTATACAGTAAGATATCAGCAGGGTGGAGGTGAGCACATTCGCATAACCAATATTATAGTATGTTGTTAAAACAGTTCTGTTTATTTATTATTGATGCTGGCCTTATTCTGTCTAATTTATAGATTAAACCTTATCATTGGTGTATAAATATAGGGAAGAAAACATACACAGGGTTTGATACCGTCCAAGTTTCAGACATCCACTCAGAATCTGGAGTGCATCCCTGTGGTTAAGGGTAGCATCATGCATGCTTCTATTCTCTCCTCCCATGCTATTAGCCAGCAATCTGTAACCATGAAGTAGGGGTGCTCACTGTTGACCAGATCCTGCTGATCAGTAACTCACACTGTTGCCTTAGATTTACCAGTCCCATCCATTTAGGACTGTTTGTTGACTTGAAAGGTTTTACTTCCATTTCTGCCACTGTGCCCTGGAAACACTTGAGAGTTTGTGTCAACACGAGGGTGAAGGCATTAACTCTTGTTCTTCTGCTCTCTCCTTTCCTTGCTGCTCTGACTGCAGATCCCATACCTAGGCTTTTGTTCCTGTGAAGAACTGGGAGAAACTGGAATATGGCAGCTGACAGACCCACCCATCCTTCCCCTTACCCATGGACCCACTGGGGGCTTCAACTGGAGAGAGACCTTGCTGCAGGAATAAGCTGCCTGAGCAACGGGAAGAACCAGCCTGTTGCAGATGAGTCGTCTGGATGTCCAGGAGCAGAGGGAAAGCCCATACTGCATTTGATGTGGACAGCTCAGAATCATTTCGCCTATTTCTTTTCATGCTTAGGGGTCTTACAGTGAGACTGTGTGTGTCAATGAGAGAAAGGCATGATTCAGGAGGAGAACAAAATCCATCTTCTCTGGACTTGCCTAGCTAGCATGGCTTTGAAGAATTGTCTTCCTAAGCTGGGCACCTGCTGCAGCAGAGACTACCACCCTTCTTCAGGCTATGCATGGCTAAAGAGCCTCACTCTTCTCCCAGAGAGCTGCCCCTACCCTCAAGAGACGTGCAAGAGGAAGGACAGTGTCTCGAATCCAACCGGGGATGGGATTGTCTTTTGTATTCCATTTGCAAGTTAGGCAAAGCCATGTTGCAGAGTGCTTTGGTGGTTACTAGAAACCATAAGACTAGTCCTCGGGTTGTATAGCAGCTTCCACCCCCAGCAGGCTCCATTCGCTAGTGTGCAAGGCACGTGCTTAAAGACTCCACCATTCAGCCTGGTCCTTCATGCTTCTATCTGTGAAATGGGGAGAGAAGCACTTTTGCTCTCCAAAGCACTTTGAGATACTCAGGGGGACGTAAAGAAAATGTCTAATGTATTGAATGAGAGGTACGGTGACTTGCAGATATTAATCAAGTTGAAACTACCCCTGTGGTAACCCCATGAACTGTGAAAGCTCTAAGCCAGTCTGAATCAAGGTCTGTCTTCCCACCAGGCTCTGGACTGTGTCAAGCAGTTAAGGAGATCGACATCTGGACAGATGTGTGTCTGATTCATTATTTGGATCAGCAAGAAACTCCTGTACGATATGGATATTTTTAGAAGGTGTGCCGGTGGTCAAGTTGTACACATACAGTCCGTGTCAACTGTGGCAGAATATCCACAGGCAAAACCAGTTCTAGGTTATTTAAGGAAGCCAGGGGACTGACTTGAATGATGACAGTCACAACTGCACTGTTCCTTTTGCTGTCCTCTTTATTTGCTTCTCTGTGACGATTTAAAACAGACGGGAGGAAGGGCTGCTTGAAGGGAGTGGAGAGTTGCAGCCTGCCTGTGACTCTCATCACGCCTACTTCATGTATTTAGAGAGAGAGTGTGTGTATTTAAAAGAAGAATAAATGACAATCAAGCCTAAACATCACTTATCAATGTCTATTTAATTGTGTGAATAGCCACTAGGGCCACAGACAGTAGCCTGGTGTGATTTCATTCATGTTGTCCCCAGTAAGATACTTAGAGAAAATATGTCGTCAGCTTCACATTTTGATAGCTAAACTGTGATTTTTTTGCCAGTACGGAAAGAACAAGGGCCCAACTTCTGGCACGGATGTAACCCTATGGTGACGTATTAATTATGTTGTAACCTTAAAATACCTTGGAGGAAAGACTCTGATTAAAAGTCTCAAAAGAGGGCTGGAGAGATGGTTCAGAGGTTAAGAGCATTGCCTGCTCTTCCAAAGATCCTGAGTTCAATTCCCAGCAACCACATGGTGGCTCACAACCATCTGTAATGGGGTCTGGTGCCCTCTTCTGGCCTGCAGGCATACACATAGACAGAATATTGTCTACGTAATAAAAGTCTCAAAAGAGAAGTCACAGTGCAACCACTGTGATGTCCCCGTCATTCATTCTTCTGGTGTTTGCAGTGACGTGAACCCACTGTTTACTCGGATCCCGATGGTTCAGCTCCCCAGATTGGGCCCTCCCACTAAATCGTCAGATTTCCTTGACTCTATAAAGAATGCCATGGACAGTGTCTGTGTTTCTGAAAAACAGTTCCTCTCAGCTTCTCCCCCATCTCTCTCAGTTATCTTGGTCTTAAGCATCTAGGTAAATGAATTCTCTTGATCAGGCCATGTCCCATTGTCCTTAACCCACTATTCCTGGGCAATTTCGACAGAATCAAAAGAGGACAGAACCTAAAGAAAGTTTCTGAAAGTGGAAAACTCCTGAGTACAGAAAAGTTTAATTGCCCAAATTGTTTATCAGGATGGCTGGGTGATCTGTATTCAATTAACATCTAATTGCACTCTTACTTATGTAAAATATTAAATATCGGCTCCAGCTGAGCAATCCGTCAAATCTGCTTGTAAAGAGACATGTGCTGTATCAGCTTTCCTACGGGTACAAAGGTTCGAGATGGGCAGCAGACCCTGAGTTGAGGCGAGTTTTTTCTGGTCTGTGGCTCGTGTTTATCATCTCAGATGATATTTGGGAGAAGGAATGAGTCGCAGACAGACAGGGCAGAAAAAAAGAAATTTTCAGCCCCGTCCCTTTTTGATAAATGTTGGAAAGCTATCTGATATCTGAAATACAGCAAGGGAGATGAAAGTCAGAAGAGGGTTTGCTATGGTATTACTTGTCTGAACAGCGTCCTGCTTTCACAAGTGTGCGCATGTTCCAGTATTGTTCCTAGGTAGGGCTCTGTCCCTGTGATGTCCTCTGTGGACTGACGGGGACCCTTGGTGCATGTTAATGGACACACTGGGGCCCTCCTTTTCCCAGGCTCTCCTCACCAGCGCTGCTTGGCTGTGAGGAGCCCTTTGCTTCACCCCAAGGTGACAATAGCTTTCAGATGAATGTGTCTTTCCCTTTGCATTCAGATTCATGCAATCTGAATGGCTGATTAAGTAGCCATCTGATGGCTGACAGAGGCGCTTGTTTTTTACCCTGTCATGAAAGACCTGGGAGACTTTCTACGTCTTATTTTAATTATATTTTAACCAAAGAATTATTTTTAAAGTAACCTTATATTTGAAAGATGAGTTTGCAATAAATAAATTAATTAATTAAAAATGTGCCTTCTGGAGCCATGTAGGTTTGGTAAGTTGTTGTTGATCATTCTCTTGCCAGTTTTGTTTGGAATACTTGTAGATGGTCTTCCTGCCTTGTGCAACACTGCCCTGGGCGTGTCTTTTCCTCTCCACAAACTGTGTTCCTGCAAGAATGGAGTCTCTTATTCCAGTTTTCTAATGTCATGGGGAACTCAGTGAACACCAGGGAGAGGAGTTCCTATCTCACTGCCTTTGTAGAAAAGTTTGCCTCTGTGCTCCGAGAACGGCGTTCCTCTGTCACCTAGGCGCTGGCTTGGATTTCACAGCATTGATGAATTGCTCTTTCGAATCTACACTCAGTATGCTCATGTGTCAGAATACAGATGAGCCTTCCCCTAAGCAGCACAAGGTCGGCACAGTCAACTGTACCAAATTTGCCCAAGGTTGGATAATGGGACTTGTGGAGATTTGCATTTAAACTGTGATCAGGCACATGCCAAGTGAGGGGGTGGGGGAAGAAGGGTCTAGACTGGCAAGGAGGGCAGGGGACAGCCTGACCTAAGCATCTGTTTAGGTGAACGTCCATGTTACAAGTGATGGGGATGGTGTTGCTAGGCAAGTTCTTTTCATCTTTAAACACACGACTAAAATGGATTTGCTTTTGCAACACTTCGCCATTGGTTTCTGGGAACATGACCACAGGCATTGCCTCTCGACACAAAACAAAGTAACTGGACTGTTACATATGTAGAGTATTAGGTTTACTGTGTGTAGGTTGAAAATTAGAGTCATTAATAGTCAAACAATAGACAGTCCATCCTCTCAGATTTTTCCTGGTACTCCTTAACCGCCATTACTTGCACAGAAACTTTGCAGCTGTTCAGCTATTGGTGGACTCCATAGGAGATACATGTGTGTAATGGAAACAATGTATATGGTTCTTTAGTTGCCACGGAGATGAGAAGAGCATCCCAAAGCCTTTGAGTTATGCCTATGCCATCTGAACCTGCTACATTGGGAAGGCGTGTCCATTTCTTTCTCACTTACAAGACTTTTGTATCACTTCTTTTCTATGTGATCCTAGTGTATTTATTGGGGGGGGGGGTTGTAATTACAAAAATAGAGAGAAAACCATGCCTCGCTGTACCGCCAAATTCCTTGACCCTACCCGCGGCATTTGTGCTTGCTGGCTGAGAAGCTGATCTTCCTGATAAAGCTGTGGCTGCATCGTGATCAGTTCACCACATTCCAGGACCTTATCCACTGGGGTGGTCCATAGATGATGTAATAAAAAGAAGCTGTGTCCTCAGTTGATCCAGAGCAACTGCAAATCAAATCCTGAGTGTGGTGTGGTCTCTTTCTGTCATATCTTGGGATGGAACTGTGGTCACTGTGACTGTGCCGGCATCCATTAAGAGTCTGACTCTTTTGCGGGGCAGTGGTGGCACACGCCTTTAGTTTCAACTCTCGGGAGGCAGAAGCAGGTAGATCTCTGTGAGTTCGAGGCTAGCCTGGTCTACAGAGTGAGTTCCAGGACAGGCCCCAAAGCTACAGGGAAACCCTGTCTCAGGGTGGAGTGGGGTGGGGAGTTGTGGCTCTTCCAGCAGAGAGTCGGAAAGATGCTCGCTGCTGATTGAAAGGGGGACCCTTTTGCAACTCTGTGGACCTCAGGTCTTTTCTGGCAAGGCATCCAGATGGAGAGGTGAGAACCCAGTAGTCACTGAAAGAGCATGCTCTGTGAAGCCTCCAGTTTATCCTCAACAAACTGGAGGGAACACACAATACCTTTCCAGTGACAGATCAGGGCCAAGGCTCCTGTGGCAAAAACAAGAGAAAAGTAGACAGGTTTGACTTTTATATAGCATGGGACACCTCATAAGGAAATGAAGACCCACTGAAACCTAACCACAAACATGTATATAATCGGTTTTAATTATGTTTTTGACACAGAGACTCGCATAGTTCAAGCTAGCCTTGAACTGGTTTTATGGCGTTAAATTCCTGGTCCCCTATCTCCACTCACCAAGGCCAGGATTACAGACACACACCACCAAACAGGGATAAAGCTTAAGTGTTTTAATGCTGAGCTTGAGGGCAAATGGGGGTGGGGTGTGGAGAAACACGATAGAGCAAATGATATGGTCTAATTGCAACAAGTTGCCAGCAGCCATACTGCTTTCTTGGTTTCTCCTTAGTTTCCCTGCATCATCAGAGACAAGAAAGCCCCCTTCTCTCAGTTGTTGGAGTAATAGTCCTATCACAGGAGGTTTCTGGGTCCTGCTTGGGGGAGGGACTTGGAATATCCTTTGTAGGTTTTATGATCTGCTTTGGGAGTGAATGGAATGACCTTCTTGCTGTCATTTTCAAACTCCATCTTACAATCCTCAGTGAAACCAAAGTGACAAGTGACATATTTGAGGGGGACATCTCTGAACCCCATTGGCGTCATTCCCTATCAGTGACCACTTCAAGATGTACCAAGCATCAGCCACCGAGCAAAAATAGGAACAACATGGGAAGGGGGGCATAAATCTAGCTAAGGATACGTTCTATACTCATAGGCTCCATTTCTAAATTTTGTGTTAAGCTAATAAGATTTTAAAATAAGCCTTGAAAGCAAATTGTGCCCAGTAAATGAATACAAATTTTCATTAGCACAGCCATCCACAACCCTGGTGGGGTCCATTTCCTGAAGATACATAACAGCTAATGTTGGAGCCTGCACAAAAGACGGGGTTATGTTTAGCCCTCCGGCTTGTTCTTAGCTCTTCTCCACTTGAAAGAGTCCCAGACTCATTTTGCCCTTTTGTGATATGTGCAAATGCTGGCTGCACATCCCAAAGAAAAAATCAGTCAGCGTGCTTTGTATCTGCTTAGGCTGGCATCAGCAAAATGCGGCGCTTCTCGTTGGTGTAGGTTCAGGTTGCTGTGTGCAGGGTTTGCTTTGTCCTTAGGTCAGGAACTTTTCCCCCCACCGAAAACATCTTCCTCTCAAACAGAATACTGCATCTTCCAGAAATCCACACATGAATCCCAGATTGCTTGCTTCTTGCCAGGAAAAGATAGCCTGGTTATTTAGCTTTTGGTTGTCCCTGTGTTCTTGGGGAAGTCACAAGGTCTACCTATCCCTGGGGAAGAAGTCCAAGCTACTGAGGGCAGTGCTCCCAGGCCAAGGCCAAAGCTGGGCATGACACTGGCTCGGGTCGGTGGCTGCAAGCCTCCAACTCAGCTCACCTATCAGTGAGCACAGTAATGATTCTTCCTTATGTCCCCCCTTTCTCCTTCCTTCTTTCTTCCTTTCTTATATTGTTCCTTGTTCACTTCCTCCCTTCTTTCTTTTGCTAGCATGCTTTGAAGAATCAAATGGGAAAGGGTATGAAATACTTGATACCCTATGTCAATGATAACAAAATGCAATGTGCTAGTACATAGATAACTGCTTTTCTAAGGCCAAGATAAAACTCATGGAATGTTCCACTTGCCCGGGAATGTGAGGGGTGAGGAATGAAAGCCTCATTCCTATGGATACTGTCTCTTTCTTTTCCCCGTGAGTGAGCTAGTGTAGAGAGAATAGTGAAAGCTGATGTGTTGGTTGGCTTCTGTGGGGATCTTCTTGTCATCCCTGTTGTTGAGGTTGGGGAGTTTGTTGGAGGCAGGCTCTCACCATATAGCCTAGTCTGGCCTCAAACATGCTATCCCCCTGCTTCAGCTTTCTGTGTACCGATGTTGCAGGCAGGCACCACCACACATGGTTAAATTTTGCTTGCCTGATCCACCCCTTTTATGGGATGCAGCGCAATTAAATTGTTTTCATTCATTCTAGGTAAGGATTTTGCAAGGCAAACTGGCCCGGTATTACAAAGTCATTGTGTGAAAGTAAGAGCACCGTTGAGGTGGCCCAGTAGGGGAAATTCTGGACATGAACGCCAGCCTGAGTTTTATCTCGAGAACTCACAGTTCAATTCTGCCCTCCCGAGGAACTGTGGCCATGCAGCCCTCCCTCACCCGTAATAATGATGCTGACAATTGTAACTATAATAAGCAGTAAAATAAATGTTCATTTTTGTCTAAAAGACAGTAAGATATAATGGACTCATTTGTCCTGCAGGATTCACTGAGTGACATGTTCCTCATAAGGTAGGGATCCTGAGCTGCAGCAGCAGAGGAGAAAACCAAGTGTTGGCCATTATGAAGTAGACACAGACAGTGAATACCCAGTTTGGGTAGAAACTTTGAGTGGACCCATCGGCCACTGTCATGGAGAGTGACTTTGGAAGAGATGCGGGCCAGGAGATGCTCTCTTGGGTGGAATGCTCAGAAACAGAGACCCTGAGACAGTGACCATTGAGCAGACTGGCTGGTTACGGCAAAGGACTGTACAGGGAGTATTTGGTGGAAGTTCCCAACACAGACTTTACTAGTGGGGATGGCTCGGGTTTTACTCTTTGGTTTTGCAGAAGAGTTTGACAAATGCTAAGGCGCAGCATAGTGAAGTGTGGGAGTGTTATCTGAAGCTCACAGAGTCTGGCACAAAAACAAGTTTCTCTGATAATAGATTCAGAGATGGCACTACCTAGGATTAGCTAAGTGACAGACAGCATTTATTGAACATTTGTATCTACCATGCCCTGACACACGCATCACTCATTTATTTGTTTGCTCACTAATTTACTTAGTGTGTGTGTGTGTGTGTGTGTGTGTGTGTGTGTGTGCATGTGTGTGAATACAGGTCCATGTGTGTTCAGGTATGTGCACGTTCGTGTAGAAGCCAGAGAGCAATGTTAGATTTTTCCTCAATCCCTCTTCACCTTATTTTTTATAACTTATTTAACTTTATTTTGTGTGCATTGTTGTGAAGGTGTCAGATACCCTAGAATTGGAGTTACAGACAGCTGCAAGCTGCCATGTAGGTGCTGGGAATTGAACCCGGGTCCTCTGGAAGAGCAGCCCATGCTCTTAACTGCTGAGCCATCTTTCCAGCCCCATCTTACTTTTCTTTCAGTGTGGATATGCATCTATCTGTGTGAATGAGTGCCCACAGAGGCTACAAGACATCATTGGCTTCCCTGGAATTGGAAAATGACTGAGCTACCTGATGTGGATGTCAGGAATTGAACTCCTGTCCTCTTCAGAAGCAGCCAGTACCCTTAAACATTCCAGACCATCCTCCAGCCACTCCACATTTTGTTTTTGACACAGACTCCCACGACATAATCCTCACTGGCTTGGAACTCTATTAGCCTAGGGTGGCCTCTAATGCATAGAGACTAGCGTGCCTCTCAAGTGCTAGAGTTAAAGAAATGTGCCACCATGTCTGGCCCCTCCACATTCACTTGAGACAGGATCTCTCAGTGAACCTGGAGCTCTCTGACTTGACTAACCTGGCTGGTCAGCAAGCCCCAGGGATCTTGTTTGCCTCCTCGGTGCAGGGTCTATGTCTAGCTGTTAAGTGCCTTCTGGGGATCAAACACAGGTCCTTGAGCTTGTGGCATCAATCACCTTACCAACTGAGCCATCTCCTCAACACCTATGCACCTTCAGTCTCCTTGACAACACTACTATTCTGATGGAAGAAAGAGAAAACTGAATTCTGGAGATACTTAATAGCTTATCCATGGTCACATGACACAGTCATGTGATGAAGAAGCCCTAAAGCTGAGACTCAATAATCATGTCAGTGTGGTTCTTGGGGCCCGGACTCACAGACTAAATCTTTTTGTTTCATTTTGTTTGTTTCTTGATTGTTTTGGTTTTGAAATAGCATCTTTCATGTATCCCGGAATGGTACAGAACTCCATATGTAGCCCAGGCTGGCCTCAAACTCCTGCTTTTCCTGCCTTTCTGTCTTGAGGGCAGGCATTAGACATGCACCCACTATGACCACCTAAAACTGTTCAAGAAACTTCATGAGAATATTGCAGAAGCCCAAGGGACCAGTGGGGTGCTTCAGAACATAGTTAGAGATTCATGACTTACCTCTAACCACCTCATTTACAGGTGAAGACATGGGGAGGTCACCTGTCTGTGAGCTGGGACCTGAAAGTGGCCTTGGCTGTCCTACAGTCATTCATTTAATCTACAGCCAATCCCCTTCTTCTCCTCCTCCTTCTCATCTTCTTCCTCACCTTCTTTTCCTTTTCTTTGCTAAGGTACTAGAGATTCTCAGGTCCTTGGACATGCAAGGCAGGACAATTTTGTTCTGAAATCAACTCATGTTTGGGCTGCTTGATTCAATTAAATCCCCACCTCCATGAAAGCTTAGGGCCGAATTTCCAGGCAGAAGTCTTAAAGGCAGAAGTCTAGTTGTCAGTTTT